CTTTGTAATTCAGCAAGTCTTATATGTTTTTCCATAACTTTAACTGGTTGAACTTCTTGAAATTGATCTAAATAACAAGATGGAAAGACAAAATATATGGAATATTATCGGTTTTATGTATAATTTCAGAAGAGGTTTTGTGGGATACTATAGTAATCTTAATACTTGGAGATCATGAGTCAATTGAAGCTATATTATCACGGAAAACCTCGAAGCAGGACTCGTCAGCAGTGCGCATCCACGATCCGGCCTCGTGAGATTTGAACCCAGGATCTATCGGTCTCGCGCGAATGCTTAACCCCTGGCCAGCATCCAATGGTGCTAATATCTAACCTCAACTAAACCACGAAACTGAGCGACACATCCAACATTGTCTTCAATGAGTTACTATCTCACAACAGATCCGGTTGAACTCCACTGGTCACTGCTTCTCATTAGATTGTGTGGCTCAATTTCGTGGATTGGTTGAAGTTAGACATTAACACCGTCGGATACCGGCTCAGTGGTTTAATGATTGAGCGCTCGCGAGGCGTGATTGTGGATGCACACTGCTGAGGAGTCTCCATAGGTACGGTATGTGCTTAGCACATTCGAAGTGAAAAGTACTTCTACAAGACTGACAGGATTCTAATCACGTACTCACTCTGGATGGTGAGCAGATAGAAGTAGTCGAGAAGTTCGTGTATCTAGGTAGCTGTATAAGTGCTGGTGGTCGCGTAAGTGATGGGATCAATGCGCGTATAGTGAAAGCCAGAGCGACTTATGCCAATCTGGACCATCTTTGGCGCATTCGTGATGTCAGTCTAGTTGTAAAAGGTCGGATCTTGTTGTAACGAGAGTATTGCAGATTTAATGCGCAGCGTATTTATCGACCGAATCAGTGACACGTAAAAACACGCACGAACGGCCTAGAGTTTCGATTATTCCTGCTTCCCTGTCTAGCCCAGCCAGTTGAGTCCAGAACGCAAGTCTTAGCCTCTGAGATATGAATCGTTATATTTCAAACATACTCTATTTATATACCAGCCAAACAGATCACATCGTACCATAAAAAAGGAAACAACATTTGTACAATATTTAACGAGTGAAACAAAAATCGACCAACAGAGAATGTCCATTTAACGTCCAAGGACACCATTACACTTAACATGATAATTATTGGTACATTTTCCCGAATATCCTAACAGTTCTACAACGCGTCGGTGAGAGCAGTTCTGCTCCATGCTTGTAAAACCTGGCCTCTCTGAGTTCACGATGTTAGACGACTCTCTCTATGTTTGATCATCATTGTCTCCGAAGGATTGCTGACATCCAGTGGAAACACCATGTTAGTAATGCAGAGGTTCGGCATCGTGTGTTCAGGCGCAGAGACGATAATCCAATTGGTGTCACCATCTTAAAACACCAACTTCGGTGGCTGGGACATATTCTACGAATGTTGTCCCACAGAATTACACGTCGTGCATTATTCGCCGACGCTGGGACTATTTGGAGAAAGCGGAGAGGTGGTCAGTGTATGACATGGTGTCGTGGTATGAAAGAAAGCTGCAAAGGGATGGCTTCTGTTGGTCCTTCACGACTCCCTGGTTGGGGTCCGACAGATGGTGCAACACAGTGGCTAGAGACGTTATCAGTTATGGCTCAGAATAGAAGCCAGTGACGATATATATTTGATGCCCACTTGTACCAATATTTATGTGTTCAAATAAATAAATAATAACCAACAAAGATAAATATTACAAACACTATCTTCCAATGTGAGTTATCTTGGACGCGTTGGACTTTAAAAATTAGCCAATAATAAAAGATAACTGTAAAATAATCATTTTGTTTTGTGTGAAGACGATAACTTCCATTTCACCTTCATGTGTATATTCATAATACGTTTAATGTGATCGGTATTCCTTATTCCAATTACATTACATAATTTTCCAATTTTTGGGATGATGCACACTCGTACAAGAAAAAAACCTGTAATTGATGTAAATCAATTAGCGATATTCAGTCATCTCAACTTCAATGTAGTACATATTGGAAAGAATATATCTCTCATATACCCTATTAGTCGGTTATTGATATAATTCATTTTACAGTATTGTTAATGTATAATATCGTTTGATGTATTTTAAAGTTTTATTCGGATTTTGGTTTTTTCCCAAATCACTATTACTTGGTAAATATATGATGCACCTTTGAGGAAGGATTGGAGATTTCTAGGTTAAATTTTTTTTATACAATATGAACCATAGTGAAATAGTATAATTTGTCCAAGTATTAACTTTCACATCGGAATCTCAAATATCTTTGGATTCGTAAAGTGAATTACCATACCCATCGTTTTAATAAATGAAGTTTGAATTTTAGTACACGTGCCATCTGTACTTAGGTATAAAACAATATGACATATAAGATCATTTGATAAAATTTGTTTCACTATTTCCCATTATCACTAAACACGATGTGACATATTAAGACGGTATATCAATACATGCGTGTGCGTGTAAAAATAAACAGTATACACTCTTACTGACTTATAAAAGAGATAAAGCAAAAAACGTGGATGCCTCAATACTTCAAATCATTAAAGTAATATGGGAAGGAGGTTAACTTACCACAGCGTTCAACAGCTCCATCGAAATCTGTATAAGTATAGAATATTAACAATAAAATCGATAAAATAAAGACATATCAAGGAAGTAACGTTTATGAACGTGAATAATGATTATATTAAATCTACAAAATGAAATTCCCAGTAGATGAAAAGATACAATTAGCTAAACTAATCGTAAAACACCAAGATAATACTCAATGAATTAGCAATTACAAAATATCAGAAAGGGGTTTTTGTGGATATTATAGTAACTTAATATTTGAAATCATGAGTCAATTGAAGCTGGACCACCATATTTGCGTACTGCTGAAGAGTACCACAACGAGACGAAACGGCCATCCAGTGCTTCCAGTTTTTCCATGGTGGTCTAGCTTCAATTGTGACTCATGATCTCAACTATTAAAATTATAAATAATTGTACGAAGATAACTAATAGAACACAAGTATGATAAAATCAATTCTATAACTAAATAATTTATGAATGTTAAACGATTGAAAAATTTATTGTAAAAATTAATTTTCACAATCGATTTAAATTTATACACCATTGAGTCAAAAGACAGTGAATACTTCAGTGAAATTTATACTGAACACAATTTGTCCGTTTTATTAAATGTTGAATATTCTATCTAACTTCAATAAATTAATTAGAGATTCAATATTCTCTACTTTTTAATTAAACAATATTATTTATTTAATGATGACTTACGAGTTCCAATTTATGCAATAACAATTTGACATCTAGTTTATATTAATCTAATACATTTTGGAAGTCAAAACAGTTTACTCGCTAAATTGTGCATAACTTAAATCTTGAACTGACTGATGAATATTTCATGTATCCTATTGTATCCTGACGAGAATTATGAATGGTAACTTTTGAGAACTGTCTATGGACCGATACGTTACATATATAGGTTTATTTATAATTACTAAGTAACAGCTGTGTATATTCATACTCCTCTTATTAAAAGCTTTATTTTAACTCATAGACTATTATTATATGATTTACCGTTCTTGAGTTTTGCCCAGTTTATTAATTACAGTCTCCCACATTCACAGCCACATTTGGTTAGATCTTGTACAAATGTTATTTTCTATTTTATGGTACTATGTGGTCTGTTTGGTTTACATATGAACCCAGTATGTTTGGAATAAATGATTCATATCGCAGAGGCTGAGATTGGTGTTCTGGAATCTAACAGGCAGAGAGAAGGACCGATAAGGACTTTAGACTACTCGCACGGGTTTTATGCGTCATTGGTCCTGTCGATAATTCACTGTTCTCTAATTGGCGGTACCATTACGTCATATACTGATAGGCGAACAGGGCCACAACTTATAACATATCCTAAATTGTAGCACATATCTAAAGATCATCCTGTCACGTTCGAATAGAGTCATCCTGAATAAAATTAACTAATCGATTGTTGACTCAATTTGTGTAAACGATTGGTCAATTGTGAGTGCATTTTTAATGCCGATGTTCACAGAAAATATAAATTAGCTAAACAATTGCAATGATCGTCTGGATCATGCAACATAGCATAGTCACTGAGAATAAATAAAACGTTTAGTTAATTAGACCATCAAGAAGTGTAATGTTTAGCTTTAGTAAAGCAATACAAGAATCAGGCAGTCACCTATCAACAACGTTGGGCCAGGATCGTGATATACAAACTAGTTGATTGCATTAAGAAATAAAGACCAGTATCAACAAGCTCAATACCTAAAGTATATCCTGCTTAATATGAACCATACGGTATTAGATTCACATCAGTGTTAGGCTGTCAATACACATAGTTGTAAAGTTTCAAACTGGCACGCGATAACGTCTTAGTGATTCTTGATTTTTGATGCGTCGTCGAATCACGTCACTTAGTAAAACTTTCTATTGTATTTGTACAAAATCCTTACAAAGTCAATATTATATCTACGATAATAAAAATTTATTACACTGAGCAACATTAACAATATGGGAAGCTCAAAATACATGATATATTCAATTAACTAGAAATAATATTAGCTGTAATGTGTCATGCAATCAAATACCTTGCATATTAATTGTTTGAAAGAATATCACATAGTGAAATATTAATAGATCACATGTTGTAATAGATAGTGATTGTCTTAAAACAGATCCAGAACAAATAAAAATATTAATAAGACAAAAATATTATCATAAAGGAAATTAGATAAATAATCAGCCTTAACTTAAAACTATTATTATGTCACTTTCATATGGTATATGATTTTGTTGATATTGTTGAGGCTAATGTCCTCAATATCTGACTCCAATAAATAATATCCCGTAAACTGAGTATTTTAGGTAAGCTTAATCTCCTAGTAGAATTACGGATTTACTCGAGATTATTGAGAAGCCTGAACACCAGTTATAGAAATAGTTTATTGTTAATGGTTAATAAAAATCCACAAGCGTACGGTGAGCAAGCACACGATGAAACAGAGTGAGTGAGTGTGTTTAAAATCCATATATTTTTTTGAGAGTTAATCGGGTGTGGATAAATTATCGATTATCTGCACATTGAAACCAATAGGAGGATAGCTTAAAAGTTAATGTACAGACATGCATTCGATCATACACACCGAAATTAACATAGTGAATCAAGAGCCTGAGTTACAATGAATAGACAAATGATACAGAGGCCAAATGGGCTTGCCACAATATAAAGCTGATATAATATACCATTAGTTAACAAGCATACAAATAAGAAACAAGTGTACAATTTATTTTATGAGAGTTTTACATTTAAACAGTTTTAATAAGGATATGTTTAAAGGTTTGCACTAAATATGAAGGTTCTTTTTTTGGGGGGGGGAGTTAGAGAACTTAGTCACGTAACTAGTTTAATGAATGAAAACACTTGATAAATCTCTTCAAATGATTGAAACAAGTACACTAGACAATAGTATAATAACGCTTCAAAATAACCTGGGTTTTTTTATAAAAAAACAAACATGACTACTTTAAATGATGATTTTAAAGTAGTACTGATGTGATTAAAATTACCAATTATTTTATAATTATTCAAATTGAAGAAATAGATTAATTTGAGTATAGTAAATAAAAAAAGAGAGATTGAATGTTACTTATTTTAGAAATGTGATTGTACACATGACGCGAATAAACAATTTACAGAATATTATTCTGTAAAACAATTTATTACATATGCAGGGTTTCTATAAAAACGCATGCATTAAGTAAGTACACTATACTCTTTTATACGTTTTTAATTATATTGACTGGAAACCTTTAATCTCGATTGAAATAATGTTGACACTTATCGTTTAGGTGTATTTGGAACCATAAAGAGACAAAATGTATTAACTGTGATAAGTTTAGTTGTCATTACAATCGATAGTGAATTCTAGGTAATTAAAAAACTCCACCTGGAGCTCCACTGAGGCTACTGCCAGACCCAAGCCCGGATAAAGGAGGAGGGTTGGGCATGGGGTTAGCGACCGCATGAAGAAAAATTGGACAGAACTGGAAAGGAAGGCCCGGGACAGAGTGGACTGGAGAATGCTGGTCGGCGGCCTATGCTCCATTGCGAGTAACAGGCGTAAGTAAGCAGGTAATTAAAAGATAATGACGAGCCTACCTTCAGCACACATGTCTGTATCAAAACCCAACGAACCAGTGTAAGCGCACTTTGATGTAGCTAAAATAATAAAAAGTAATCAAAGGAATGTAATTAGTAACAGACAATATTATGATAGTTACAACTAATATTGTTACTTTTACTCATTCAAAATAAAAGGTAATAGAAATACTCTGATTACTACTACAGTGAACTATGCGTTTTAGAATAGATATGATTTGAACTGAAGATCTTACAAAATAATTTACAATCGAGTAAGAGCAAGGTGTTGATCTCCATGATAACCAATAATGTACCAACAAAGATACAACCGAGTTTCCACTATAAGCGAGCTGCTGTATAAGTCGAGAATGTCCATAGGTACGGTATGTGCTTAGCACATTCGAAGTGAAAAGTACTTCTACAAGACTGACAGGATTCTAATCACGTACTCACTCTGGATGGTGAGCAGATAGAAGTAGTCGAGAAGTTCGTGTATCTAGGTAGCTGTATAAGTGCTGGTGGTCGCGTAAGTGATGGGATCAATGCGCGTATAGTGAAAGCCAGAGCGACTTATGCCAATCTGGACCATCTTTGGCGCATTCGTGATGTCAGTCTAGTTGTAAAAGGTCGGATCTTGTTGTAACGAGAGTATTGCAGATTTAATGCGCAGCGTATTTATCGACCGAATCAGTGACACGTAAAAACACGCACGAACGGCCTAGAGTTTCGATTATTCCTGCTTCCCTGTCTAGCCCAGCCAGTTGAGTCCAGAACGCAAGTCTTAGCCTCTGAGATATGAATCGTTATATTTCAAACATACTCTATTTATATACCAGCCAAACAGATCACATCGTACCATAAAAAAGGAAACAACATTTGTACAATATTTAACGAGTGAAACAAAAATCGACCAACAGAGAATGTCCATTTAACGTCCAAGGACACCATTACACTTAACATGATAATTATTGGTACATTTTCCCGAATATCCTAACAGTTCTACAACGCGTCGGTGAGAGCAGTTCTGCTCCATGCTTGTAAAACCTGGCCTCTCTGAGTTCACGATGTTAGACGACTCTCTCTATGTTTGATCATCATTGTCTCCGAAGGATTGCTGACATCCAGTGGAAACACCATGTTAGTAATGCAGAGGTTCGGCATCGTGTGTTCAGGCGCAGAGACGATAATCCAATTGGTGTCACCATCTTAAAACACCAACTTCGGTGGCTGGGACATATTCTACGAATGTTGTCCCACAGAATTACACGTCGTGCATTATTCGCCGACGCTGGGACTGTTTGGAGAAAGCGGAGAGGTGGTCAGTGTATGACATGGTGTCGTGGTATGAAAGAAAGCTGCAAAGGGATGGCTTCTGTTGGTCCTTCACGACTCCCTGGTTGGGGTCCGACAGATGGTGCAACACAGTGGCTAGAGACGTTATCAGTTATGGCTCAGAATAGAAGCCACTGACGATATATATTTGATGCCCACTTGTACCAATATTTATGTGTTCAAATAAATAAATAATAACCAACAAAGATAAATATTACAAACACTATCTTCCAATGTGAGTTATCTTGGACGCGTTGGACTTTAAAAATTAGCCAATAATAAAAGATAACTGTAAAATAATCATTTTGTTTTGTGTGAAGACGATAACTTCCATTTCACCTTCATGTGTATATTCATAATACGTTTAATGTGATCGGTATTCCTTATTCCAATTACATTACATAATTTTCCAATTTTTGGGATGATGCACACTCGTACAAGAAAAAAACCTGTAATTGATGTAAATCAATTAGCGATATTCAGTCATCTCAACTTCAATGTAGTACATATTGGAAAGAATATATCTCTCATATACCCTATTAGTCGGTTATTGATATAATTCATTTTACAGTATTGTTAATGTATAATATCGTTTGATGTATTTTAAAGTTTTATTCGGATTTTGGTTTTTTCCCAAATCACTATTACTTGGTAAATATATGATGCACCTTTGAGGAAGGATTGGAGATTTCTAGGTTAAATTTTTTTTATACAATATGAACCATAGTGAAATAGTATAATTTGTCCAAGTATTAACTTTCACATCGGAATCTCAAATATCTTTGGATTCGTAAAGTGAATTACCATACCCATCGTTTTAATAAATGAAGTTTGAATTTTAGTACACGTGCCATCTGTACTTAGGTATAAAACAATATGACATATAAGATCATTTGATAAAATTTGTTTCACTATTTCCCATTATCACTAAACACGATGTGACATATTAAGACGGTATATCAATACATGCGTGTGCGTGTAAAAATAAACAGTATACACTCTTACTGACTTATAAAAGAGATAAAGCAAAAAACGTGGATGCCTCAATACTTCAAATCATTAAAGTAATATGGGAAGGAGGTTAACTTACCACAGCGTTCAACAGCTCCATCGAAATCTGTATAAGTATAGAATATTAACAATAAAATCGATAAAATAAAGACATATCAAGGAAGTAACGTTTATGAACGTGAATAATGATTATATTAAATCTACAAAATGAAATTCCCAGTAGATGAATAGGTTTTTGTGGATATTATAGTAATTTAATATTTGAAATCATGAGTCAATTGAAGCTGGACCACCATGTTTGCGTACTGCTGAAGAGTACCAAAACAGGACGAAACGGCCGTCCAGTGCTTCTAGTTTTTCCATGGTGGTCTAGCTTCAATTGACTCATGATCTCAACTATTAAATTACAAAATATTCAAGTGAAAAATAAGTTAAACAAATGACTAAACAGTTATAAAATATTTAATTAAGACTAACATGAATACAATTTTCGATATTTGCAATATTGATGATGACAATGTTGCTTAAATAAACACAAGCAAGACTTTATTTTTTAACCAAATGCATTGCAAAAAGCAAAATTAACTATTTTACAAACATAGCCAAATAGGATGACATTTTAGGCCAAAATTACACTGAACCATCCTATATAACACTTTATTTTATTAATTGTCTACGTGTATCAATAAAAAAGCAATGAGTTATTAGGTCATTCTATCAACAAAAATAAGCACAAATTTTGATTTGCTATGTATGATTAAAAGACAGTTAACAAATTCAAAAGTCGAATACTATGCATAGTGAAATTTATCGATAAGTCTAAGCACTGCAATAAACTTACTACCATCTAAGGTATCATAACAAATACTCCCTGTAGGCATTGACATTTGTGCAACTAAGAAGAATAAAGACAGTAAAAAAGAAAGGTGTACACATGAAAAATGTAATATGGATGTTATTTAATAGTTTTAATGATACAAACATTGGTATAAACATTTTAGTCATAATATCAGTTAGTAAACAATAAATTATTATCAGAAAAATCTGAGCTGACTTTGTCATATGATGCTATGAGAATTTTAAACGAATTGAAAGGATTATAAGGTTAGCAAATAAGAATAGTATTTCGACATTAAAAAAAAATATTATGCAATATACATTCGCATGGATATTATAAGGTTATAAGAAATAATTATTGTATTTATGCACTTATATTGTAAACAGCCGAGTAACAATAAAATCAATTACATTTAAAATACTTTTCATAATGTACTAATTTTAATCACAGAGAAAGCATAAACATAAAATCAATATACAACGTTACTAATATATCGATAGATAATGATTCAGTTGATAATCAATTAATCATAAGCACAGCAGCACTTGGTATATATGTTTAGCAGTTCGTGATACTGTACTTAACGTCAATAAAACGAGAGTATTAAAGAAAGTAAGAATGGTAGGTAAGTAGTGGTAGGGATAAAATAAATATAGTTTTTAAAAAGGAACGAATGGATAGAATTATACTACGCACCGAAGAAAAGTAAAGTATCGATGCGTCTGGTATTATTCGAGTGTTATTAAAAAACGTCTTTCAGGGTGTTTAAATAAATATGACGACTATTTCGCAAGTCTAACAGTAAAGTATGCACCTTTAAACAAAGCTCAGGCTATCAATCAATGTCTCCCTGTAATTAATCCTCTTGGCTCGATATAGTCGCTCCTAATAGTCGTTTTCAACTGCTTTTACTCTAGCCAAGACGATACTTAAGAGCAGGCAATTCCTAGACATACAAAACACTAACTCCATTTAGATTAGTAGATGGAAGATCGAATATTTGTAAACTGATTTATCATCTTTGACTAGTAATCTACACATCCAAACCACAGTTATTTGCTGTTTCCAATACAAATGAACAGGATTGGAAGACACCTGTAATCCAGAATACCAATATAGTACACCATCGACCTCTGAAGACAATTTTCATAATTACAAAGTAATAAAGCACAAGGTGGTGTATAGTATACTCATCTTTTGATAGAAAGATGAACATCTTTCTAGCTCGAAGTTTGACGTGAACTAGCAAATGATGAAGAGACCGTTAGCTCTTATACTTAGAGTTCATTGACCAATAACCTCGTTACAGCTAGTGAAACTCCAAGACAACTGGAATGAGTACGCCAACTCAACCCTTATTTGATGAAGACCAGTCTCGGAGTAATATTTCGAATCTGTAGGAAGAGATGTGCATCGCAAACATTTATTCTCGCCACTCAGGCTTTTACCTACGTACTTAGTCAGTGCGGTTTTTATGTTCGAGATCAATAAATTTAAAGTCAAGTTTAAAAATGATCATATATGTGACAAGATTTGGTGAAGATTAAGAAAATGGATAATGATGACGGACACTATTTGACGGAGATGATTCAAATATTAGTGCATCGTAAATCCTAACTGACCCATAATTTCCCAACTAATGATTCTCAGCAGATTTATGTGGTTTCTTTGATATGTTTTTCAACCAACCTACCTTAGATAGAAGAGTATCAAGGGAGAGATATTCCAAATAATATAGCTCAGTCGATTCGTAATGATATGAACGTTTAATCACTTCGTCAAGCTGGGTAGTTTATGATACAAAACTTGTCAGAATTACAGACATATAGTGAGCGAGAAATCAACCTAACACACAATAGTCATAAACCTTTTGTTCATGTTGTATTTAATCCCAAAAGTAAATTACGAGAAAGTCTTTACAAATAAATATACACCAGTCGGACAAAAACAAACGTTGGACTGATTCATTTTTGTACTGGTTGTTTGAATCGCCCCATTGAAGTTAGACTGATTTAATAAATCCATAAAATCCTAATTCATTATTAAAGTAATCATACAAATGAATATTATGGAATAATTGTTTAACGAATCATACCAGAGAAACGACGGAACATAAGAGGTACAGTGACTTTAACTCTTTCCTTCGGATCAACATCTAAAATAGAACAAAAAAAGCAATCAGAAGAGTAATACAAGTAGTAAGATGGTGAAAGAAATCCACCATGCTTTATTTTGTGCAATGAATTAAGATAATTCTAATCATATTAAGACAAGTGATGGAAGGTAAACTACATGAAATGAACAGGAACTTTTACCATAGTACTAATGAAATTCATATTAATTACCTAACTTGACTGGATCTACAGCGACCAAAGAAGTGAATTTTGATAATATATTCAATTGACATGATAAATCTTCAACTTGTTGACGTATGGACTTCAATTCTGTTTCATTTTTCTCATTCATTTCATTTAATTGTATACTATGGTATTCATCTATAAGTTCATTCATTCGCATATTTCCTGCTAGCCGATGAATCGGTAGACTTCCAGAACAATTCAACTTGTCATTAAACAATATCACGTTCGATATACTTAACATGAATGATTTCTTTTCACCTAGTACACTAAAATTGAAATTTACTTGTCCTTGGATAGTTGATGATTTATCTATTGTATAAATAAAAGACGAAAGAGAATTAGAAAATACTATTTTTTAAAAGTGTAACTGAGATGCATGAAACGAATTCAATTAACCAAATTAACATAAATTCTTATATTGATGGCGCATATCGATTGAATACCTGTTAAAGGTTGATAGATTACTTTCTTGAATGACTAAACCATATTTATGCAAATATGACATGATACCACTTTATCAGCTTTCAACTGTTAGATAGATAGTCTATTCTTAACGAAATAGGTTTACAAATTCAATGAAAGAATGATTTTAACATACTTATTATTTTCTTTTCAACTAATCACAGTTGGCTGATAGATCCAGAAGTTCTCTAAGCAAATTTCATCTACTCCTTTATAGTTTTTATTTCTAACTGTTTATTATGTAAGTTATGTTTGTATATATATATATATATATATATATATATATATATATATATCGCCCCTTTGAACCTTTGTTAACTAATTCTGGTTATTTACTTGTTTACTGTGAAGAAGTGGTTTACACTAAGTTATGAAACTTCAGAAATTCAAATTCCTACTCATTGTGCTATCTCAAATATACCTTTAATTAATTGTCATAGTGTTCGTCGGACTATTATAGAATTTACAGCTATTTATCAGTTAGTCCGATAGTGATTACTTACCTATTCTGCCATACTTCAGATAGTTATTACGTTAAGCGTTATTTAGAAATAACTGAGAAATCAAACATATATCGTAGTGGATTGTCGGTGAGAGATAGTGGTACGATAAAAAAAACACTGGCAGAAAGGCCCACATAAGTATACCTACTACAAACGCGTCGGTGAGAGCAGTTCTGCTCCATGCTTGTGAAATCTGGCCTCTCCGAGTTCACGATGTTAGACGACTCTCTGTGTCTGATCACTGCTGTCTCCGAAGGATTGCTGACATCCAGTGGCAACACCATGTCAGTAATGCAAAGGTTCGGCATCGTGTGTTCAGGCACAGAGACGACAATGAAATCAGTGTCACTATCTTGAAACATCGACTTCGGTGGCTTGGACATGTTCTACGAATGTCATCCCACAGAATTCCACGTCGTGCATTATTTGCCGACGCTGGGACTGGTTGGAAAAAGCGGAGAGGTGATCAGTAAAGGGATGGCCTGTATTGGTCCTTCACGACTCACTGGTTGGGGTCCGACAGATGGTGCAACACAGTGGCTAGAGACGTTATCAGATATGGCTCAGAATAGAAGCCAGTGGCGATCATGCTGTAACCTTCTTTTACTTTCTCCATAAAAAGTGGTTGTATCTTCCTTAACTGAAAGATTTCTTCTGATTGTACCCTTCTGTTCCCCTACTATTACTATTATTATTATTACACTACCTTACACCAATCTCTTGGTTATTGTTTTTTTTAAATTTTCTTTTACGTTCCTCACTTTTTTTCTTCTTAAATTCTCATTGTTTTGTGTGGCGCATTCCTGTACCAAAATATATGTGTTCAAATAAATAAATAAATACCTACTACAAATAACTTGAAAATAAGTGTTACTAACAGTATATACCAACACAAACAGGTTATCAGTAGTTGCATATGCCATAATGAAGACTGATTTTTAAATTAAAAATTTTGGATAATCGCAAATATGACTACATTTACTAACCAGATTTGAAAAAACCGAAATATGTCGAGAACCGATCGGGAAATATTGGAGCTATCTGCTTGGGAACAACTACCACTTCAATTGGTTTCTCCTTGCCATCATGAAATTTCTCGACTAGCTTCCAATTCATTTCAATATTATCAGCTCTTGGCTGTAATGCAGCTGAAAGAGTCCTCATCACAGCTGACTGAAGTTGAGAGCTAAATTGAAAATAGTTGAATATATTAAAACCACAAAATTTATACATGAATCTACATATATGAGAGTTGACCAAGACAGGAAGAGATACATGGTAGTACAGCCACCAGGTATTTTATAGGCTTCATCGTACCAAATTGTGATAAAATGGAATAAATATCTGGTCCATCATGCCATTTATTTCCAGGTAAAATCCAACAAGACTTATTTATATTGATGGATATATTCTGTTCGTCTCGCTTTTTATTGACTTAACTACAACTTCGATCATGCCTGTTACACAAAAACACTTTAATCAGTGTGAAAACCAGTGTTTGAACAAAGTAAAATTCATATAAACATAAATGACACGCTTTGAGACCACAGGAAGTACTTAAATAATTCAACAGATTCTCATTACCACGTATATTCGTTAGTTAAAGCCTAAAGAAAATCGACAATGGCTTCTGTTTACTAATCCATTGACAGTTAAATATTTATTATCCAGAAAATGATAAGACCATAATTTTGTAGTGGGCTTATGAATGCAACATTTATTGTAGCGAATCATTTGTAAAATGAATGAACTTATCACTCTAATTTATGTCTCATGAAATATCGAACTGTAAGTAATCATTATTTCCTTAAGTATTTTTCTTAAAGAGGAAATTAACTAGCTCGATCACAACATAAACATCAATTGATGAATAAAATCTAATATTATGGCAGCAAAGTCTGACCTAAGGCCTTTCCACAGCGCTGCTGGGAAGTAGGGACAACCTTACTAGCTAACTTGAGCGGTCTATGGGAAGAAAGCCTTTATACCATTGATACGTATGCAATGCGTAAGTGACGGTCAGTTGTAGCAAATACGTTTGAAGGGAGCGGTGACTGACCATCTACCCTCCCAGCTGGGTGAATATATCTATATGTATGATAGGGGATGTATGAGTAGAAACTTGTGTGCTACTAGTGTGCGTGTAACGTATATCTATGCGTATGTCAAAGGACGCATGAGTGAAAACTTACAAGTTCCCAGTATGCATGTAGATTAAACTTGCCCTGGTGTGATGCGCGTGGGCCAAGAACTAGGGGTAACGGATTTTCTACAAAATCACATCCATGCGGTAGGTTTGCGAGCCTTGCAAAACCCAATCGGTTTCACCCGATAAGGCTTGACCAACCTTAACACGGATGGAACACTGTACGAATACGGTTAGTAGAGTAACAAATACATAACAAAAGAGAAATAAGACTAGCATAACTAAAGTGCCACTGAAATACAATTCAGAAAAGTGTTAAAATAGATAAAAAGAAAATGATGCACTATAGGAAAACAGAAAAACAAACACTTACGGATCACGAACAAATTCTGCTGTACCATTGCCAGCTCGAGCAACACCACCGATTAGTGCAGTGCTTACTCCTTGTCCAAGCCCTATAGTAAATACTCTGGCTTTGTCAACGTTCATTCGTACCAAACCGATAACCTAAATATTTATGAAGTAAATATTGATGAATAACAGAAATTAGTTATAAGGTACTTTAATAAACTTCAATTTTGAACAAGCCCTTAATTGCCTTAATTTAGTTTATAATTGAATAATCTCAGTAGTTCATAATGTAATAGAGTTTATTTAATCACATTAACCCAGATTGATATTTATAAAAATGTTATAATAATACGTTTGTCATATCCTAGTGAATCAATAATTTTCACCGAAACATTTTGTTCTTAATATTCTGCTGAATAGGAAATTGAATTTCTAACGATTTTCACCAAAGGAGACTTATGTGAAGTCATGCAACATTAAAATTTGGAAGTTCTACTCACTGGAGGGTCAAAAACACATTTTTGTCTTATTACTATGAATAATTTAACTAATGTCTTATGTATTTGAAAGTATTAAGTCAAACCATAGTGGTGATACTTATAAACTGATTTTTAGTGATGAAGCAGTCTCACTTTAATGTCATATTGGAATATATTTATCCCTCTATTAATTAAATAGTTTGAAGTTGTTGATAATCAGGAAGCTAACACAATTTTAAGTATTATGTTTGAAATACGTTTGTATAAAAGGTAAACAGATGCTAACTAGGTGTCTGAAACACAATTAGATTTACAATCTATAATACAAAGGCATACATTCGAAATTTTATCCTATTAAGCCATAGCTGTATAAAGTTCTGAAGACCAATACATATAACAACTAAACCGACCACCATCACATCCACTTCTACTCAACTAGGCTTACTTCACACTAGCATAAAAAGTTATCTAATTACAAATTATTTCATTTTGAATAAATTTATTACCTCCAAATACTGATTTTTGTGATTAATCATGAATGTTAACAGGCATTTAAAGCAAGAAAATAAATAAACATAATGTGAATACTACAATCGACCTTGTTGTTAACAGTAGGTAGTTGTATTACAACTTTAGTCCTTCAAAATAAGGGATTCGATCAAGTAAAAGAGTTAGAAATTACAAGAAAACAGAAGACCTACCTCATCTGCATTACCTACATCACCGTCCGTAAGAAATATGATTTGTTTGAACCAACCTTCACCACTCGGTGTTGAATGTAGAGCCGACTTTAGAGCATTGTAAGCTTCTGTACCGCCCATATCAGCATTTAGGTCTTTTTGATAGTTCATTGCTGTATTTAACGATCCTTCAGAATAGTCTGTAGGTCTAATAATAAAAATAGTCATTCAACGAATTAGTAAATAAAAATGATACACAAATTTATCCCCATCAGAAATAATGGTGAACAAAACACCGAAAAACAGCTATTTCATTAGAGCAGATTAACTTCGAATATTAACCTGAGTCCACTATCATGGTTTAAATTATGTTCATAACGTATTATCATCGCACCCACCGTGATAGTAAAAAAACATGCATAGTCGGTGAATACTTGATCTTTTCAAAGCGCTGCTTGCATATGAGGATAACACGAAGTGAGTTGAACTGTGGTTAGGTGTGGGGTATTAGTTTAGGTTGGCAAATCGACTAGTGAGATTGAGCATTCATCGGATGTGACTGGGGTATTGTGTTACATATCCCAGTACTCTTGAGTTTCGATGAGTTTACATTGTTTTGACTTTAGTAGAACAACTGATCTGCTTAGTGTCAAATGAATCAAATATAAGGCGCAGTAAAGAGTGAATGAATGGCTAAAAATCTATACAAGACAGTACATCGAAAATCAAACTGAAAAGTAAAACTTATTTAAGATATTGGAGGTCCGCCATATAAGTGTGTACTGAAAACACCCAGAAATTCAAAAACGATAGCCCTAAACACAAGTGAGCAAATGCAGCACACTCCTTAATTGAATGGATGTTAAATACTAAAGACACAAAACCATGAAGCAATGACCAAATAAAGATCAAGGAGTTTTAGAAACCTGATTGGGAACAAATGGTGTAAATTAGCTGCGAGAGCAGGAAGGAACTTATGGAATATGAACGTATTTTGAATACCGGCCACCATAGGACAGCATCTCGTGCATCGTGGACTAGGTCTCCAGGCTAAGCGCCCACGAAACAGACCCCCAAGAATAACAACCGGATTCGGTTTGAAGAACTAAACAGAATCCTAAATCTTTAACAAATATTATGATGATTACTACTGAAGAAAATGTTTTCTCTTTGCTTCAGTATTTACCCAGACAGTATTTACAATCATATGGTTACATATAAAATTTTATGCAGCTATTGCTGCAACTAAATATCAAACCGAGTCATGACTGAGTTTAGACACTTGTTCACTGGCAAGTGTAGATGAGCATCGGCTGCCTCTGCATGACGATGTAGGACTGGTGGATTAAGTCGCTTAGTTTCTACAGACTCTTTACAACTCCTTGAAGCATCTTCATCTGGTAAACTATGAGTTTGATAGTAAGTGTAGATTCTTGATTCAAGTTTGTGTAAGGACTAAGGAACCCAGTGATTGTAGCGTACTAACTAGTTGAAAGCAGCAGATGCATCTGTCAAACGCTAGACTGCATTTCAACTTATCTGAATCACTGGAAACTAGAGGTCTGGTGCAAGTTAAAAATTCTGTGAAGTCGATAATACGCCATTCAGTAACATCTAATGGATTCCTGAAGGAGTTTTCTGAGGAATATCTTACCTGGTCTATGGCCCCAATATCGTCAGTCAAAATATCTAGTACTCGCTGGTCGGTAACTACTGATACACCTGACGAGAGGGAAGTTCACTAGGAACTCCAAGTTATGAAATGCCATAAGTCATCGGGCCTAGACCCTGGTTCGGTTTAATGATGGTGGTAAACTTCTAGTCAAGGAATTGACTGGGTTGTTTGAAAAGGTATGGAACACAGAGATATTCCAACATCTTAGAATGAGGCGACCGTCATCTCCATCCCTAAAAAGACCCTACGCCACTTATGCAACAGCAATAAGACAAATTTACATTTGATCTCATCCACACTACTGATTTCCACCATACTTTGCAGATTACTCGAAACCCACGAAAGATTGACTCGTGATGAACAGGTTGGTGTTCGTTATGGTCGTGCACGTGCATATCGCATCCTCACTCCCTGTAAATGTTACGGCAGTGCCACACTTATCTCAAGCCAAAAATCATTGTTTCTTGATTTCAGAGCTCCCCTCAATTAGTTGGACAGGACTATGTTCTAGAATTGTTTGTTGAATAACAGTGTGAATTAGGAGTTTATTAAATTCTCGAAGGCAAAATGAGGGCATAAAATCACTTCCCTTCGTTTTTAAAATCCAGTCATGTAAAATATGACCATTTCTCCCCAACTTCGATAACACTCAGTTCTGAAGGAAGTACATGTTTGTGGCGATGATTCATTCCCCAGAGAAAAACGTTTCGACCCTGGGTATGGGACATTGTCCTGCTGTGAAGTGATACACGGACAATCTAAACTGAACTCGGTCTTAATTTTAATCGAGCTGTTTCTCTTATGATGTATTATTCTTGCTAGAGTGCTTTTATTTCTAACGCTCCTTTTCCATGACTTATTTCATTACAACATTCTCTTTAATTTGCATGATGATCACTATTTCTGGTGTCTTGTAGTAACAGATTTTATGCATTAAATAAAACGACTATAAATGTCTGATCGCGAATTCGACTAAGAGTGAATAATGATTTTGGATTTGCAAAGTGAAAACGGGAACTGATTTTATGAGAATTGGAAATAGCCATGCATCTTTCCGTATACTAGTGATTATTTAGTTATCTTCAAGGTACATGATTCTTGGGGAAAGCTGATGAGTCATCACAATATTGACTGTAAATAACATTCTGCTTACTCTGAAAATAAAGCAGCAAAATCACTCCCGAAGCCAATAATTTGAAAACGACAACTCATAGGTAAGCTCTTTAAGAAGAGGAGAAGGGAGGTCTTAGCGTAAGAAATGTTATCACCTTCCATACTACCTGTAAATTCAAGTAAAAATTTGTGTTATTCGTATTCACAAGTTAATAAGGACAATAATAAAGATGAGATTACCAACGAGTTATAGAGTAATGACTTCAGTTTAAACTCCTAAAGTGAGTCTCAATTCCTGTTAATGGCGACGTAAAAACAATGAAAACAGAATACTGTGAAGTGGAAATTTACCGAATTACGAAACTTTTCGTGATCATCAGTAATTGGTAAAAAGTACCGGTCATACGAGAAACCCTACACGGTGGAACTTAGTTGACAGCTCTCGTGACATTCACTGTGAAGGATTCAATCTAAAATATTTTATGAGAACCATGAATAAACGAAGCAAATGCTATTCAGTACTGTCGTAAAATCGATTATACACATAAATTATCTGTTAACTAAGCATCACATACACTGGAGTGCACTCAGGTCACAGTAATTCACAGTACTAAATAACCCTGTCGCTTCGAAAACCTAGTTTTACATGCGTTTATTCGGGGACCCTGTGACATCTTCGTCTGGTCTTGCTGGCGTTGGTGTCACACTAAGTACTAATTGATTGGATCCCCATTAACAGCCGTTTACGTGCTGTTAGATTAGAAAGTTCCATCGAAGTGAGAATAAATCGGCATGAAAAACGATGACTTTCCGGCTAAAAAACTGACGACGTTGTTTACAAAGGTTTGGGTGTTAGAGAATGTACCAACGTCATGGAATGAGTCGATAGTTGTCCCTATCTTTAAAAAGGGTTCACGTCGTTCCTGTAACAACTATCGGGGGATAAGTTTACTTCCGATCGCGTCCAAGCTATTGGCTTCCGTCATACTTCGTAGGTTGTTCAAAACCCGAGAAAGATTGACTCACGAGGAGCAGGCTGGGTTTCGTTCTGGTCGAGGATGTATTGATCATATCTTCACCCTCCAGCAAATGTTAGAACACCGTCATACTTATCAAAGGCCAACAATCGTTATGTTTCTTGACATCAGGGCTGCCTTCGATTCGTTGGATAGGACTGTTCTCTGGGATTGTCTATAGAAGAAGGGTGTGTCTGAGGAGTTTATTAACATCCTAAAAGCCCTATATACAAACACCTCAGGCAGAGTGAGGACAAAAAACCACCTTTCTCCATTGTCCCTTTCAAGCAGTGTGATTAGACAGGGTCGCTCAATCTCACCATTCCTCTTCAACTTTGCCATCGATGACATTCTGGAAACAGCTCTGATGGATGTAAGTGATGGCGGTGTGGATCTGTTGCCTGGAGAAGGACTTCTCGACCCTGAGTATGCGAATGATATTGTCTCACTGTGCGACAATGTCCAAGTCATGCAATCCACACTTAATCAGTTGGCAATCAATGTCCGTAGGTACGGTATGTGCTTTGCACCTTCGAAGTGCAAAGTACTTCTAAAGACTGACAGGATTCTAATCATGTACTCGCCCTGGATGGTGAGCAGATACAAGTAGTCGAGAAGTTCGTGTATCTAGGTAGCTGCATAAGTACTGGTGGTCGCGTGAGTGATCAGATCAATGCACGTATAGTGAAAGGCAGAGCGGTTCATGCCAATCTGGGCCATCTTTGGCGCATTCGTGATGTCAGTCTGACTGTAAAACGTCGGATCTACAACGCGTCAGTGAGAGCAGTTCTGCTCTATGCCTGTGAAACTTGGCCTTTCTGAGTTGACGATGTTAGACGACTCTCTGTGTTCGATCATCGTTGTCTCCGAAAGATTGCTGACATTCAGTGGCAACACCATATTAGTAATGCAGAGGTTCGGCATCATGTGTTCAGGCACAGAGACGATAATGCAATTGGTGTCACCATCTCAAAACATCGACTTTGGTGGCTTGGACATGTTCTACGAATGTCGTCCCACAAAATTCCACGTCATGCATTATTCGCCTACGATGGGACTGGTTGAAAAAGCGGAGAGGTGGTCAGTGTATGACATGGTGTCGTGGTATGAAAGAAAGCTTCAAAGGACTGGCTTCTGTTGGTCCTTAACCACCCCCTGGTTGGGGTCCGAGAGATGGTGCAACACAGTGGCTAGAGACGTTATCAGATATGGCTCAGAATAGAAGCCAGTGGCGATCCTGCTGCAACCTTCTTTTAATTTCTTCATAAAAAGTGGTTGTATCTTCCTTAACTGAAAGATTTTTCTGGTTATACCTTTCCGTCTGCCCCATTGTTACTATTACTATTACACTACCTTACACTAATCTGGTCGTTATTCTTCTTCTTTTTTTCTCTTCCCATTCTAATTGTTTTGTGTGGCGCATATATATTTGGTGCCCCCTTGTACCAATATTTGTGTGTTCAAATAAATAAATAAATATTTGTGGATGCTTAGATGTGATCTTGATGTTAAAAGCCACCAAAATACTGAGCTAACCAGCAACCATTAAAACTGTATCCAGTAGGACGAATAAAAAAGTGAAATGACGAACCTGAACGATCGATTAAAAACACGAACTCATATCGCATGTCTTTAGAACTAACGACATTAGGAATATCAGGCAAAAGCTGTACCATCAAACAGTTCATAGCCAATATAGACGACTGGTTCGGATCACCATATTCCAGAGATGCCAGAGATGTAAGTGGATCAGAAAGACTTAGGACCATTTGAAGATCATGATCTGGTATAAACTCAGAGGAAAGTTTGACCTAAAACATGAATCAAATTAATTAATTCGTGTGAATTACCAATCAACTACAGATTTATGAACATGGTTTCAAGTCATATTGTTGATAACACTACCTTAACGCCCAGACAAGGTTTGAGATGTAGTGATCAAGAGTTGAATAGTTTGACCACCATACCATAGTCCCAGTGACCGAGGGAATGGCTGTAAAGTCCTTATTTTCATGCTATGGGAAACCAACAAGTAAATCAACTGGCTCCCATCACTCAATACGTTTTAGATTGTTATCCCATGAAGGTCTAAACCAATATGTCATTTCTCGTATCAAGCACTAAAGATATCTTCAAAAAATAAGTTATTAGAAAATTGTGTTAACGGTTTCATTTCAAAAAACAAAATTATAGTGCTAATTCCGTGTCAAAACTTAGGAATTATATAATCTCAAACATACTGTTAAGACGGCGTGAAAAATCTCCTGACTAGTTTTGATTTCATCTTTTGAGTTTCAAAACAAATCATGTGGATAGAACGTTATTACATGTAACAAACTAAATTGAAACCTTTTTGTCTCACAAACCTGCGGCAGATCTCTGATTTCTTTAACTATTGCAAATTGTATTACCCAAAATATTTATGCATGATAGAATAATAAATTCTTCTTAGTATGTAGTGTTATAAACTGACTTCAAGTAGTAGAGTAGTTAGGCGAGTACAGTTATTTTGAATGATGAAGACTATTTGCTATCCGTTGATAACAAAACCGGGAGATAAAAACACTAGCCATCCACTTTACGACCAACGCGTTAGTGACTAGATGCTTACAATGCATGAATGAGTTGTTAAAGATAAATGTAGGACCAAACTAGTCTCGCGCAAAACGTAACTAAACTTGAAAGTCGAGAGCCACGATAAAAGCGTAAATTCGGGATTATGAAATAACTAGAAGCCCACTGTGCATGTCCCGCATATTTTTTTCAGCAAGAAAGGGTAGGCCTACAAGAAGCACCTTGAGAATGTATAATACAAGACAGTATGTTTAGCAAATTTAATTGTATTCCCATAGTAGAAAGTAGATAATAAAAATATTGGAAAATAACTTAAAATTTTTAGAACAAACAAGTCTATTCTGATGAATTAAAATGAACACGACCACCACTCTGAATGAGTAGTATTACTTCTGTAAACATATGACCTTTAGTGGAGGCGAGTCATGAAAACAATGAAAAACAGAATACTTGATACCTCTAGAATCGATATAAAACAACAACTTTAGACCATTAAAACAAAAATGCTGAAGCTTACAAGGCCATGATTAGAATTGTTTGTACAGTTCCAAGTGAAACTATCACGTGTTGATTTGACATCCAGAATTTTTGACGGCATCCAAAGTTCAGATTCAAATGTTATTGTGTAGGGCACAGAATTCACAAGCACAAGCTCCGTAAACTGCTCAAACTCGTCGGAATTCTTTTTTTCTGGATTGAAATTAAACAAAACATAATTATTTACCTTTCGGGTAGTAACGCGGGTTGATAACGCTTGGCAAAGTTAGGATAATTTCAGAGTGGCTAAACTTAGATGTATCTGTCTTCATGTTTTTTCCTTCTACCAGTCCAACATATTGTAGAACTATAGCAACCTTTCCATTTGGCGGTATGTTCCCGATGTTCATTTTAAATAAATCAGCACAATGTTCATCCTGTTCGGCCAAGATTGCTGTGTGCCCTTCTTCAACAGCACTGTCATACGTTTCTTTAGCCTTCATTGAGGTAAAATAAAATAAATAACACCATTAAGCTATTTGATAAAGTGGAGGTATACTCTACTTTATTCTGGATGACCTGAAACTAATGTAAAATAAGTAGTTATAAAGCTACTTATCAGAAAGTGAAAAGGTCACTCGTTTTTATATAATAAAAAGCTATTCACTAAATAAATATTGGAGAAACCCAAAGTTATAATCATACCTCTGAGTGATATCTATATCTTGCAAGTTAGTAATATTTACTGTTTTTTAAATCATGAATAAATCAAGTTCCCAATCTATTTCTAACTAAGAAGCGCTGATATTCAGTAAAACATTTTCGCGGCATAAGCTATGTAACAAAAAGTAAACTTGAAAAATCACTTTATACCACAAAGTTTTCCACACTGATCGACCTGCCAGTTTAGAAGACTCAATCCAACTCTTGTCTCATAAGAAGCGCTGTTATTTCCTATCCAAACTACATGCTTAGATAACTATCTTTATTATTAAATGAGTTTTTTTGGTTCAAAACCATGATTCTCTCAAACTGCATTGGAAGCAAAAGTGTGTTGCCATGTTAATACATTTGATGATTCACGTCATTTACCCTGAACTTCTCGAGTCATCATGTACATAAATATTTGTCCCAGTAGCCTTGATCCCTTTTATATGTGAGTATGTATGTACGTCTTTTGATCACTTACTCTCTTTGCTACCCGTTTTAGATTGTCTTTAACTACCTGTACGATTGCTAAATCACTTAGTGAGATAGAGTTGGCTGGAAAGCCTTTCTCAACACTACATTTTATACGTCTAATCTGTACAATTATATGAAATATACCCCTCAGAAACACTCATATTCCCATTTCAAATAAGCCGTTATATGAAACGTGTAAAGTTGATTATATATATAAACTAGTCGCAAATATGTTTTGGGGAGGGAGAGTAGCTCTATTCATTAAGAATGCTATCCCATTTGCCATTATCGACAGTGTACCCCATGACAGTGGGACGTGTGAATTAGTTAGTTGCCGCTTGAAATGCAAGGGACGAGAGCTGATGATTGGTTTGATCTATTGCAGCCCAAGCTGTGAGGTAAAGGAGGTCCTGCTAAGCAGTCTCAATACTTGGTCACAAAGTGGTCGATGTCTAATCCTAGGGGATTTTAATGTACCCATGGTATACTGGGAAAATATGCGAACCGAATTGTCAGAAAATTCCTTCAAGCAGGAACTAGTTGATGGGGTTATCAGATGTGCCCTAGTGCAACATGTGAAAGAAGCGACTAGGTACGATCCGGACACTGAATCACCCTTACTAGATCTTATATTGACTCACTATGAGGATGACGTTGCGAACCTCCATTACACGCCACTCCTAGGTAAAACAAGGTCACGCAGTTTCAACTTTCGACTTCCATATAACTGTCAATCACGAGCACGCGTTAACTTAATCCAGACCTAACGTCTGGAAGGCAAACATACCAGATACCATGCACTCAGCATCGTTAGTAGATTGGACAATATACCCAGAGTCCTCGATTGAAATGGCTTGGGACGCATTTCGAAATTTATACTTAAAAGTTACCGCACCATACATCACTTGGATTATAACCAAGGGGGTCGAGAAACTCTCCATCATGGTTCAGCAGAAAGGTCCGCATCCTTCTCCGTAAGAGAAGAAAAATGTGGGATAGATTTAGGTTACTGGGGTCTGATGAGATAAAATCTCAGTATCGAAAAGCTCGGAATACCTGTGCCTCGACCCTCCGTAAGTCTAGAAAGTTGTACGAAGAAAAAATTGTTAAGGAATCCATAGAATGTCCTAAACGCTTGCATTCCTATATAAACCAAAGGATAAAATGAAGAGGAAATATTCCTGCTCTATGGGGGAGACAGTACTGCCGCATCAATAGTGGAGGACGACTTTGGTAAGGCTCAGGTGTTCTCGGACTACTTTAACAATGTATATACCATAGAGGCACCCTTCCCGTCAGCGCGTACAAATCCCCCCACACATACACTGAACAGCCTGACCATCAAAGAACTAGATGTCTTTGGTCTGCTAAATAAGCTTGACATAGGCAAATCCATGGGGCCCCATGAATTGCATCCTGAAGGAATTATCTAATATCGTCGCGAAACCTTTAAGTATATGCTTTAATATATCCGTAACGCAGGGTCGTTTACCAAAAAACTGGAAGAACGCCATAGTAAGTCCTGTTTTCAAAACAGGTACGAAACATAAACCTGAGAATTACCGACCCGTTAGCCTAACTAGTATGGTTGTTAAAATCTTAGAAAAGATTATTCGGAAGGAGCTGTTTAAGTACCTCGATGAAAACCGGATCCTTTTGGAGAAACAGCACAGTTTCAGAATAGGTTATTCTTGTCTCACTAACTTATTAGTCGCTCGTGAAAGCTGGTGCGCTATTAAGGACCAAAAGTTACCTGTAGACGTAGCCAACAGATTTCAGCAAAGCTTTTGACAATGTTCCGCATAATCGGCTGTTATACAAGCTAAGAAATGTCGGAATTAGAGGCAATCTATTGATGTGGATAAAAGACTTCCTACTTGCGCGCCAACAAAGAGTACGGGTGTACTCAAAGTGATCTAGCTGGGAAACTGTGCTTAGTGGAGTGCCCCAGGGTACAGTTTTGGGACCAGTGCTATTCCTCTTTTATGTAAATGACCTTCCCCGGTTCCTATCATCATTGGTCTTGCTATATGCTGACGATGTCAAGATATGGAGAACGATGAGATGAAAGAGTGATAGCTTAGAACTCCAAAATGACCTGAAGAAATTATCTGAATGGTCTCAAACCTGGCAGTTGCCGATAAATACTTCCAAGTGAGTTGTGATGCATATCGGTCATCAAGGTACAGATACATATATGATCAATAACACTGAGCTACCTGTCGTCCAGACACATAATGACTTAGGAGTCTTCGTTAGCCAAGACTTAAAGACTACTGCACACTGCCGTGCAATAGCCGCCAAAGGTTCTAGAACCTTATGGTCAATACGTATGGCTTTTAGTTATGTTGACGCTAAGACGTTTTTGACTTTATATACAGTGTTCGTACATCTTAAACTTGAGTACTGCATACAAGCGGCTAGCCCCTGTTTAGAAAAAGACAGTGAGCTTCTGGATAGGTTCAGAGAACAGCAACTAAGCTGATTCCCGGAATAGCGGAGCTTCCGTGTGATGCCCGACCGGCCAAGCTAAACCTTTTCCTGTTGTCATATCGTAGAACTAGAGGCGACTTGATTACAGTTTTCAAATTGCTTAGTGCTAAATCCGCACCTGATATGCCCTCATTTTTCTTGTCTTCCAAAACAGAGAATTTACGAAGACACTCCAAAAAAGTTCACAAGCCAAGAACAAATTACTTGTCAGCTGACTATAAACTTTCCCATCGAAACATCAACGAGTGAAATTCATTACCTCAGCACGTGGTTGAGGCTCCATCCGTCGATTCTTTCAAAAGAAAGTTGGATCAACTGAGAGACCACCATTGCCAAGACTAACGCAGGCCATCAAGCCACCTGTCCTTTTCAAACTGAAACTGATTTGTTATAAACTGACACATCAACAGAAGTTAGGACACTACTCCGTACTGTATACCTGAAATTTTAGTTTTAACCAGTCAGTGCTTTCTAAATTTTGATTACGGATGTCAAGATAAAACCCTTTTACATAAAGTACCGAAGCTGAAGTCCCTCGCTGAAGAATTTACGAGGACACTCCAAAAACGTTCACAAGCCAAGAACAAATTACTTGTCAGCTGACTATCGACTTTCTCATCGAATCATCAACGAGTGGAACTCATTACCTCAGCACGTGGTTGAGGTTCCATCCGTCGACTCTTTCAAAAGAAAGTTGGATCAACTGAGAGACCACCATTGCCAGGACTAACGCAGGCCTTCAAGCCTCCTGTCCTTCCCAAACTGAAACTGAAACTGAAGCATGGACTAAATACAATCGAGTTATAGCTTTGACATTTCAATAAGTAAAACGATATAGAAAGTACGCTGAGTTGCATCTTAACACACAAAACCATGTTTATATGTACAATAAGAACCGTTTGGACCCACTATCATTAACGATAAGAACTGAAAATAACCAGTGAAGCATCGTTGACCGAATATTATTGTTGCACGGATATTAAAGACAAACTAAAAGAAACATTTCTGTAAACGTCTGGGTCTTATTGTGTAATTATGCAACTTTTCTATTATAAACAACGCAATCCAGTGGTATAATTACTAACTTTCCCGACTATATACAAGTAAAATGGCAATTTATCCTACTTACCTCTGCACGTGGACGACACACGGATACTATTTTTTTGTCACCGATTTGTGCTTCGAAATGGTAAACCGCCACATTGCTCAATGGAAAAACAAATGATGCCTCCAGAGCTTCTTGTAATGAGTTTTCGTACAAAAACTCTACCTTGACGTCTGAAAGCATATTTACTACCCTACATTTTATTTGAACACTCTTCAATGGAACATTCATGCATGATCCTTCGCACACAAGGCCAAGGTATTTATAACCCGATATGTTCCAACCAAAGTTCATTTATTAACTTTCAGTACGTCACTTAGTTAGATGCGTTTGAGATATTCTGAAAAAGAACAACAGAAAAAGATCGCCAATGACATATTCAGAACATAGAAGGCACTAAATGCAATCGACATCAGTCAGTAAAAATACAAGTATAAAATTAGGACAATATGACTATTGAAGATAAAACTAAATACCGCAAGGTATCTAAACGTTACAGTTTACGCAATTGAATAATCCCAAGCAAATAACTTCCCATGTGATTGATTTAAACAAAACATGTATCAGAATCTTTAATAAGACAGTCAAAGTTAAAAAAAGAAGACAAAACCGTTTATAATCAAAGTTTGTGTACGGCAATCGAAACCTTCATGAAATAATTTGATTCAGATTTGTGTAGTAAAGACAGAAGGCCTACGGCCTATTTTATTCCTTTCCAAGTATGCTCCTGTGAGTGCCCAGTTTTCTCTTGAAAGAGTCAATTGAATGTGCGAACACCACTGCATTGAGTAGTGGGTTCCAAGTATTGATGACTCGGTGCGAAAACATGTATGCCACGGGTATTGTGTTCATTCTTGTCTTTTCTACTCGCCTGCTATGTCCTCTGAGATGTCCCGATCTAGGGGGAAGAAAAAGAGGGAATACGTTAGGTCTGAAATCATTTCTCAGCATTCTGTGCATCAAAATCAGATCGCCCCTTAGTTTTCCATAGGACAGAGTAAAGAGGTCCAGCTTTTCAAGTCTCTGTTTGTACGGTAAACCCCGGAGTTCTGGAATCGCACGGGTAGCTACCCTCTATACTTTTTCTAAGATATCCGAGTCACCTTTTAAACAGGTGCTTGCAGCCCGAACGCAGTTCTCAAGCTTAGTTCTCACCGAGGATGTGTATACTGTGTTGAACATGGTACTATCTAACTTAGTGAATGTCCGTTTTAAAGCCCATAAAGTTATAAACCCCTTGTCTGAGACCTCCCGGCAATGGGCCGTCATCTTAAGATCACGACCCACTGTCACCTCTACATCCTTATGAGACCGGACCATGGGTAATGGCACTTCCCCCATGCTATACCTATTAACCTTTGTATCCTCAAAGTGCATGTATACACCTTTTGCCGCGTTGATAGGCATCGACCACTTTTTAAACCAGTTAGTCATATGATTTAAGTCTACATGAAGAGCACATGCATCTGCGTCTCCAGTTATTACTCGCCAGATCTTTACATTGTCAGCGTATTGGGGACTTTACTATACTTTGAAGATCATTAACATACATTATAAAAAGTAAAGCACCTAGGATGGAACCTTGAGGTACCTCACTAAGTACTGGTCTCCAGATGGAGCAATTGGAATTTCTTCTTACTTTCTGTCTACGACCTACTAGCAAATCCTTAATCCATTTTAAAAGAGGTCCGGCAATGCCAAGGTTTTCCAACTTCAATAGCAGTCTATTAGTTGGCACCTTGTCGAAAGCCTTACTGAAGTTTATGTAGACAAAATCCACTGAGTTTCCGTTGTCTAGTGCCTTTATTTTAAATTCCCTTGCTATAAGGAGGTTCGTTGTACAAGATAAACTCTTACTAAAACCATGTTTTTCCCTGTTTAACAAGTGATTGGTTTCCATAAATACCATTATGGTCCGTTTGACTATTCTTTCCGATATTTTAACTATAACACTGGTCAGGCTTACAGGTCTGTAGTTCGATGGAAGTTGTCTTGGTCCTGTTTTATTCATTATAGTTACAATTGCCTCCTTCCAGTTCATAGGTAACACACCTTGATCAAGTGGCATATTGAATATCACAGTCAGTGGGGCTGCAATATGTTGTGCAATATGTCTCAAGGTTTTGGGGTGTAGTTTATCTGGTCCTGTTGACTTCTCCATGTTTAGGGTGCTAAGAGCCTTAAACACATCGTTTTGGTCGAAGTCCACGGTGAGCAGCTGGTTTATTGACTCTGTAATTGGGTCTGGTTCTTTCTCTAGAGGAGGTTCCTGAGTGAAAACTGCCCCAAAATAGTCAACAATAGCCTCTGGGTCTTCCTGATCTTCCTCTACCGTTTCAGATTCACTCCCTTCTTTAATTAAGTTGGGAATCCAATGATGGATCCTTGTTATGTAGTTTATGTACGAGAATATTCCCTTGGGCTGCTTCAGTGTAGATTGTGCCTACTGCATTTCATATTTTCTTTGAGCTTCCCGAACTTTAGTTATATACGTGTTTCTTACCGATCTGTAGCGTTCCGTCGTACCTGCTGTGTCAAGGCGGTTAGCAACATCACAACATTTCTTCTTTTGTCTTAGTAAATGTCGAATATCCCGGCTTATCCAGGAATGGCCATGCTTCTTCTTCTTTGGGACTGTCCAGGATATGTATGGTTGAGTTACCCTATTGTATGACTGCCTGAAAAGAGTCCATGCCTCTTGTACCGATGCCTTAGAGTCAATTTCCCAGTTTTCAGCCGATGCTGTGAAGTGGATTGCCTCCATGTCTGCCTTCCATATGTTAGGACGGGCCGGCGCGACTGTTTGACAGGCAATCTCAGCCATGAATTTGAATAAGATGACTGCATGGTCACTTCTCACTAGTGGTGGGGGAAAAGTCATTTGACCAACGTCATTACCGTGTGTGAAAACTAAATCTAAAAGAACAGAAGAGCTTCTTAAGTCATATCTTGTGGGGTTTATAATGTGTTGGAATAAAGCTAATCCAATCGAGGTTTATAACAGTTTGCAATCGAACGACGTTATCGATGACCCTACTTCTAAGTTAACCCAGTTTATATACGGTGTATTAAAGTCACCTACTACAAAGCTTTTACCCTTGTTACGCCAGGACTTAAGTTTACTTGGGAAAAAATCATCTGCCACACATTCTGGGCTGCGATATACTACAACTAATTCAATATCTTGCCGTCTACATTTCAGCTTACATCGCACCAGTCCACATGTTCCTGAAACTTGTGCCACTGTCTCAGCCACTTTTATGGTTAGGGTACTTTACGTGTACAGGGTAACCTCACCTCCCTTACGGTTTAATCTTTCAGCCCAACTGGATAAAAAACCAGTCAATTGGATTTAACTATCTAATAGTCCTGACGTTAACCAAGTTTCCGAGACAGTAATAACGTCCGGTTTTTCTTTATCCACCTCTGACTTGAGCTCCACCATTTTATGTAGTTTGCTGCGAGCATTTGTGTAGCATACCTGTAAGGCTGTGAAGAACTTTCTCTTACCACCCAGAGTGATTTGGGGATCGTTTTGCCTCGAACTTTTGCAATTTGAAAACCCTTGAGAACCAGGTTTCGGCGACGCTCATCTATTTCCACTTCTGCAGCTCGCCTCTTAATACGATCAGCTAGGCTAAGATCCTCAGGGACGTGTATTCCGGATCCGATCAGTTTGCGTGAGCTATCTAGAATCAGGTTCCTTTCTTCAACCGTGGCAAATGTAACCTTCAAAAGGCGGCTTTTCTGTGGACTTTCATAATTCACCTTTTGTCCTATTCTATAAGGCTTACAGTTGCTAACTCCTGAAACCGTATCTGGGAGTAGTTTGCTTATTTAGGACTTAATATGACTGAGATCGTGTTCAAATCTAGCCTTCGGTTCCCTATCGGAAGATTCTGTTAACTTATGAAAAATGACTGAACTCTCAGAGAGATCTGTTTTGACACTCAGTGGAGTTTTTGTTTCTGATACCGTCTCTTCTAACGACTTGCTAATCAGCTGTGTTTTGACTACAGCTTCTATCTTCTTATTTCTTTTTCTCCGTACTGGAGTCCATCTATCACCACTCAGGACAGCCACCTCAGGACTATTTGGAACGGTGACAGTTTTATCCGGGTTTTCAATTTTCACTAGAGGTGTATGATTACCGATATCAATATCAAGCGGCACTTCACTCCTCGTTATTGTTAACGGGGATTTCACTTTCCCGTCAATCACAGTCATGTGTTTAACGAGTCCGGTAGCCGCATGTACTACACTGACACGTTCTTCACAATCAGTGCTCGTGTTATCAGCGCAACCACCATCGTTTTCCTTACAGTCCAAAGCCAATAGGCTCATAACCTCATGAATTAGTAACTTCTTATTTGTACAGCAAAACATACAAAGCCAATGCTTCGAGCATCTTTTGTATGCCATAGGACTTAGGACTTCGTCCAATATAATCCCAGTGATCAGGTCTTAGCTTGTTGATTTGTTTGAGCTCAAATTCTAATGTTATATACGTTCCCAGGTCATTGATATCATCTATTAAAGATAATAAGGCCACGCTGTTGCACCAGTTTTAACGGATTCGACGGTGAACCAATGACTGCTTTGTCACCTCTTCTAAAAAAATCTGTTTGCCCTCGAATGTTGGGTTGCTGGTATGGGCAACAATCGATGTGCAAGACAATCGGCCAATTTATTTAGCCTAAAAGGGATCTTTAAAACTATAATAAAGGAAAATAGGTAAATCAAGGGCTGCCTAATGCAAGTTGGCTAAATATTCGATTCAACAGGTAAGCGAATGAATGGAAAGGTAAGTGAAAATAGAGTAAAAATGGAAATTATGAGTAATAAGTTTACGGTGGCCATGATGACAATGACCAAAAACTGACGGGTTACTCTCAAGCTGTTACAGTAATGCTAATGAATACGAACTAATATTATCAGTTAATATGCATAATTTAAACCTAAATATATGCTGTAGCTATGAGTACGTGCATGGTATTCAAGTCTCTTAAATCTTCCTGCTGAGAAAACTGTGACTGCGGCTTCTGCAAAACAGTTTGAGGTAGGACAGACTCATAGTAGGATTAGGATACACCCCTTCTGGGAATGCTCTCTTTAATGTATGTTTTGCTAGAGACAAAATTGATAATCTGAAGTGGTGAGCTTTGAAGAGTGTACGAGCCTTCTCGTATGTCTGTATTAATATGTGTCCATAAGTCCCACATATGCTTACTGTGTTGTTTGTATGAACTAACGATTCCTTTGTACTTGTTTAGTGCTTGACTTCAAATTCTAAATGCAGTACATTCGTTCAAGCTTATCCAGTACTTTTTGATCCAATTGCGTTATTTCTGGGATTCCTAGTTCGTATGATAATTCAAATACGTCTTGTCACAACACATATACTTCTTTGTTTCTCGTAACGTTAACGCTACTTCTAAAGTTCTCTGTTGTCACATATATTATGTTTATCTTTTACTTTGTTTCCAGTTATTATTATTATTAATAGTATCTCCAGATTCTGAATTTCGAATAACTCAATAATGTCGTTTAGACTGTTAATCATTATTTCATTCTTGTTTTACTAAAGACGATTTTGTCTTCCTATATTAGATTACTACACTTTGATTGCTCATATGTGAACTGTATATCTTTGCTCTTTCACAAAGAAATTACAGACGAGATCTTCGTTTTTTATGTGCGTTCGTAGCTATCCACATTGGTGACCGAGATCGAGCCGGTAACACGCCTCTAGTATTAAAACAATATGTATTAAAGTCATGAGGTTTTCCATTTTGTGTGAGCATCAGATTTTATATCTCCCTGTAGTGAATGGTGAATTGTTCGTTTGTAGATCGTTGAGTTTCACTGAATTCAACAATCAACCTGAGCTAGACAACCGCTGAAAACCTGGAAACACTTTGTTAAGTGCTCTGACCCTGTCAATTATCACATAACACAAATGTCAGTCGGGATATCGACCTCTATGATATTGTCTCTGTTCATTAAGCAGCACGACTAACCTTGAGTCAAGTGCGAGTCCTTTTTATTTCCCTGTATAGTAGCTTCTTGCCTAGGGCAGCCCTCTCAGGCCAGAACATAAACTCAAACTCCACTGCATGAATCGTATATTTCTGACATACGTCGTTTACAAATTAGTTGAACAGACCTCATTACATCACAGAATGAACGATAAAAAGCCTGGAAGTTCAAGCGAAAAGTGGCTGTCAGTATGGGAGACTGTAACTAATAAATTGGGAATAAATCAGGAATAGTAAATTGTATACGGCGGTCAGTAAACCAAATGAAGGCTGTTTATAAAAGAAATATAATCTAGTTACTTATTAATTGCGCAACAGCACTTTATGCAATAAAAGTTCATCAATGATTCTCAGCAGTTACCATTCATTCTTTATTCGTTCGGTCATAAAACAATGGACTCCCATTTTGTTCTGTTGAGGAACTCCTCAGCAGTTCTGTGGTTATCAGTGGGTACCCTGGTCTCATGACCTCAGACACTTTCGGTCTTTTAACGTAAAGCATTGTATTTCGTCTATTTGATAACTTTAACATCTAGGACAGAGTTAAAGTGATTTGCATGATTTCCCCGCTTGACAAGTTTTGGCAGTTTCCTTTTATACGATATGGTACTCCCGGCCTTATGCCAGATACCTTCTTTGCCAAGCTTGAAACCAGCAGTAACCCTAGGCGGAGTTCAAACCAAGAAATATTAGTCACTATATTTAGTGACCATGTTGTTACTACTACTGATTTATCTCGTGTCTGGGAAGATTTCACACCTACGTTCATGAACGTAATCAAACACGGTTGGATGGAACATAGAATGTCAGCAACAAACAAAATCCACTAAACACAACTTCCTAGACCGAATGAATAAAGTCTCGGTATGCCGTAAACTTGAAGTAGTGTATTGCACACATGGCAATCCTAAACTTCACAACTTCTGAATGAGCATTCGTAATCTGCATACGACAGTTCTCTTTTACACATTCTGTGACTTGAAGCGATGAAGTTGAGTCCGGAAGCAATGGTTACTAATCCTTTTTGAAATAATCTGATAAATCTCAACAAAATGAATATAAGTCAAGTAGGAGTTACCACCAGAATAAGCCTCAACAAAATATCTTCATAAGTCTTCTGAATATCTTAAACAGATAAATTTAACTGCGACCGAATTATCAGACCGTTACAGTTTTTTTAAAGATTGTTGAAATTACGTCTCTTTATTTGTAGTGTGTTACTAAATATGCATTAAGATGGCAGGAACTGGTATGTACAACATACTTATAGTACATCCAAATATTGGTTTATCTCGGCCTCTTAGGACACATTATGATGAAACTTTGAGCGTCAAAGAGAAGTTTGAATGCTTTAAGTGGCGGTTCTACATTGATTTGGTCCATTGCAGCTTTCTCCCATTCATTCATCATATGTTGTGATCGCTATATAATTTCGGTATTCTCCTTATTTTGGGGTTTCTGTGCCATTCACCCGAAATTTTCTACAGTGGATTCCTCAAAATATCCCCGAAACGGATAAATATTTCTCTGAAATCGGAGACTATGAACTCACATCAGATACGATCCAATACTTTGAAAACTTTAAAAGGTTTACAAACTTGAAAACTTTGGATCGAGACCTGTAAAATAAGCTAAAAGGAGATAGTATTATCCGGTTTCACTAAATACTCTTCAGTACGCATTGAGTCACATTAAGTATCTTAACGTGCAATGTGCCTTAGAGCTGGTATTTTATTTAACAACAAATCATCCACCAACACTCTAAATTTCGCGGAATACACATGGTGAGCTATATTAGTTCTGATTAACTAAAGGGCATCAGTATGTAATAACTCTGTCGAATTTTCTGTCTCTAAGTGGGCGTATTTAAAGACGTCGATTTAACAACTTCTTAGGATTCAGAATTTGTTCGCATTTCAAAAAGGGTGTATAAACCATTGCAAACACAGTCAGACCGTTACGCCGTGGGTTTTCGCGCACGTGTAACGTTTTATCGAGGATGTAGAAATGTCGTTATTTGTCAGGTGTTAACGGTTTTTTCGTCCTACGTCAATTTTCGTAATGTTTGTGCTAGTAACATAGCTTTTTCGCAGTTTAGTAGTAGTTTGACGTATTTGTTTCTCACAACCTGAGTGAATGTCTAGTCAACCTAGTGTGGTTATTCGTAACAGTACAAACTCAAGCGAGTAAACTTCGTCATTTTTCAGGTCAAAATAGATCACTAATAGAGTTCTAAAGAAATTAAGCTCAAAAACCTCTTACATTTGGTTCACCTCCTTGATTATGGTGATGATGAACATGGATTTTGGTAGCTGTTTTCAAAAGAGGTTTAGGCAGTTAAACGTTAAACTTTTTATCAATTTTATATAACTTGCTAATATACAGCAATAACCAGTCACATCGTTTATAAGTATGATCTTTCAAGGTCGCTGAAACGAAACGGCGGGCAGATTCGAAAGACTCTGACTGTGCAAGTAACTTGACAGATATTGTGCATAAATAACATAAGATGTGGGACAAAACTCAGTACAGTTGTTTCAGTACATCAACTACTATATATTAACATTTAATAATTGATCTTCAACCATATACATATATATATATATGTATTATTGTATCCAGGTGTTATTCTGTTATAAATAGGTCAAAATGTAAAAGTATCACACAACCACTACGGTTTATGTTTGTACTTTAGATATTAGACTTTTCCTTTGGATCGTCTGGTTAATCTAGTGAGAATCTTTACTGTGGAGTTAAACTAATCAAAATAAGGGTACATTACTGTAGTTTCTAACTCGTAATTCAATACGTAATCCTAACTAGCTTTCACTTTTAAAGGAAATGGACGGTGCTCCTTTTTATGTTAGACCTTTTTAATTGATGTGGAAGTTATTTCTACCATCAAATGGTATAACTGGTATACGAATTGCATGTGAAACCTACTGGTTCACATTTAATAGGAAACAATTCAATAGAAATTGGTTTTCACTTTGTTCATTCTTAACGCAACTGTGTTATATCATGAACGCGAAATAATAAGCAACGTTTTATCCTAAACCTAAACTGCTAATCTTCACAATCTCAAAATATTTTAAGAGGTCTGAATTTTTACTAGTTCATACAAATCTTAGCATCATTAATTCGGTTGCCGGCGAATTCACATAAATTTTAAGGCGAATTCGTAAAAATATTTGTAGTCGTACGTATAACCTGGGAACGAATTGAATCCCTTTGTGGATAAGCTTTTGTAGAGGAAAAAACTAGAAAGAGCGAGGAATAACGTTTAAAAACCACACAAATATGATCGCAAAATAAAAAGGAAACGCGATATGGGCAAGCACTAATCATACTGTTTAGAGTTCAGAATATTGATAAACAGATTAAAAGTAGTACATTGATAGTTTATTTCGTTTTCATTCTTTACTTACGCCTGTTAACCCTCATGGGGGAGCATAACCCGTCCACCAGCATCCTCAATCCAACTTTGTCCTGGGCAATTCTTTCCAGTTACTACTCATCCTTTTAATGTTTGCTTCGAATTCCCAACTCGGTGTGCTCTTTGGTCTTCCTCTTTTCTTTTTCCATTCAGGATCCAAAGTTAGCACTTGCCTCATACGCGGTTTGGTGGTTTCTGCAATGTATGTCCTATCTACCTCCAACGTCTTTTCCTAATTTTCTCTTCAGCTCGAAGCTGGTTTGTTCTCTCCCATAGAAGGCTGTTTCTGATGGTATTTGGCTAATGGACATTGAGTATCTTGCGTTGACAATTGTTTGTCAGTACTTATACCTTTTTGATGATGGTTGCGGTTGTTCTCGGAGCTTCAGCTCTATTCAAAAAACTGTCATGATGCTCTTACTAAAGACTTTGACCTTTATGTTGGTGCTGATAGTCGCAATTTAGTCTGTGCACGATCGATCCTTATGGAATCCGGACTGTTGATCTCTAAGTTGGGCGTTTACTGGGTCTTTCATTCGGTCCAGCAACACTTAGAAACTCCTCCTGATTCTGACAGTAGTGTGATACCTCTGTAGTTCTCATACTTGCTCAGACCTTTCTTTGGTACCTTGATGAGCTATCTTTCTTCCTAGTCTGTTGGTACTTATTCATCTTCCCAGATCTTCCTGAATGGAACGTGGAGCATGTTTGCAGTTACTTCTGTGTATGACTTTAGTGCTTCGGGTGGTATGCTGTCTGGTGCTGCTGTTGCTTTCTCACTCTTGATTCGTCTGATGGCCATCCTGATTTCTTCGATCGTTAGTGGAGTCACATTTATAGGGAGGTCTATGTGTACTGCTTCTGTGTCCGATAGATTTAATGGAGCTGGCCTATTCAACAGTTCCTCAGTGTTCCACACATCTGTGATTGTCTTGCCTTCTTTGTCCTTAACCGGTCTCTAGTTTACCATATTTTTCTACCAGCTTCCTTGTTGTGTCATATAGTTGTTTCACATTTTCTTCCGTCTCAGCTTTTTCCTTTATCGTTGCTAGGTCTTCCACATGTTTCTGCTTGTCAGCTCTAATGCTCTTCTTCACTTGTTTTTTTGCTTCAGTGTATTCATCTTGTGTCTTTCTCTGTTCTTGTTCAGCTGTTGTTAATTGCTGTTTTGTTCTTCCTTTCCACGGAGATCTATTCCTTATGATAATAATTCTTGCGGCCCAGAACCCCCTTATACGTTTAAGTTAGTGCTTCTTTGATCCCTTTCCAGTTGTCCTCCGTAGTAGTTTCTTCTTTCAATAAATCTCGTTAGGCTTGGAACCTGTTATGGAGAGTTGTCCTGAATTCGCTGAGTTTGTTAGTATCTCAAAGGAAGGCTGTATTGAACCTTTGTGATGCTGTTCCCCTGATTGTCCATTGTTTCTTTAGCCTCAGTTTCATCTTTGTCACAATTAGGTGGTGATCTGAAGCTATGCCAGCTCCTTTCCGGGTTCTAACGTCTGTCATTGACCTTCTGAATATCATACTGATGCAAGTATGATCTATCCGGTCCCCCGTGGTGTGGTCCGATGATACCCATGTAACTCTGTGTATGTGCTTGTGGGGGAATATTGTGCCGCCTATAACGATTTTGTTGAACGCACATAAATTTTCAAGTCTGTCACCATTTTCATTTCTTTCTCCCCGTCAGTTCATGTCGTCCCATGATATCTTCATACCCGGTGTTGTCCGTTCCGACTTTGGCACCCGACAACCTAGTCAGCACCTGTTAATTAATGTCTTACTAATGGTGTATTGGCCACTGAATCTGTTTTTGAAAGATACTGTAGTTTTTTCAAGTTTAAACAGCTGCTGCAAAATTATCCGACAGTATTTGTCCGTTACTGTGTAAGGATTTATAATGCTTTTTTCGTCGACATAAACCAGGAGCATTTTAGTTGCAATATTTAGTATCTTTTGAAAGGATTTAACTTTTGATATATCTACCGTCTTCATCTATTCTAGGAAAGACAATATTCAACGAAACCAAAGCGTTTAGAGGTGACGACTATACGTATTATCATTTGAATTTTGATTGCCGTGTAAAACAATAGCTTTTTGATTGAACTTTTTCAGAAGATATTCCTTGACAAAATCAAACAAGCAACTATTTAGTCAATCGTCCAGCTTTGCATTAATATTTCTTATATCATTACACAACGTTCAAGATTAGTAATGAATGATCAACAGTCTGTTGGTGGAAAATTATCCCAATCCGTGCACTTTAGTGATGGTGTTTTCGATCTCACTGATGAACACAATGAAGAGTGTTCGGACTCAGTAAGCTTTTCCCCATTTAAGTGTTCTATTCAGACTTCCAAAATCGTTCATTTATTTATTTCAACACATAAACATTGGTACAAGGAAGCACCAAATAGATATGCGCCACATAAATCATTCGATATGTGTGAGGGCTGGGATGCTGCCCAGGTGCCCAAACCCAAGCAGGACTTCCAAAATCAAATTAGTGTGAATCCTTTTCGAGGTAGAGATCTATCTACTCAGTTTGGGGTTACACTTTCAGGATGGTGCTATCTGGGTGCTCTAAATAAAATGGGTGAATGCGAGATTCGAACCTCCCACCTGTTGGTTAAAAGCTGAATCCATTAATCAAAAACCGTCTGCCTCCTAAGATTTTCTGAAAAAGTGCTTATGATTTATCATAAAGTTTTAAGGAATGGAAATCTAGGATTTGCATAGACGTGGCTAGGTTGAAACGTTGGTGAAGATAGCTTGTAGTAACCCCACAGTGGTTTTGTGTTTTATTAGTCGTAAATGATAAAACACCCTTGTGATGAGCCAAAGTATGGTTTCATGTTTGTATCCTTGTTATTTTCCGATTCTTCCAACATTTGCATCTTCACGACATAGTTTTCCTCATGAGATTTCTTTGTCCGCTATTGTCACAAGCCTTTTTCTGTTGTAAGCAATAAAAATGAATCATAGGAAGTATTACAGTATGGTTAAGCTACACACTAACAAGACTAAGCCCGCTAACGTATTTTAAAATTTAGTAAACTCCAAAGGGGACAACGTCACACGCTCATAACCATAACCTGTTTGATTAAACAAAATATGAACTGTAGCATGAAGCGAAAACATGGCCAAAAGTCATACCGTATCTGACCAATCAACATCATATGATGTCCGTCAAATCATAGATTTGTTCAAATTACTACTTACAAACGGTAATCGGCTGATCGCTGTCTGTTTCTACTTACTGATCTGAGCCATCCAAAATGTAGGCTATCTGTCTTTACTTGCTGAGTGGCTAGAAATCAGTAACTGGAGACCCTAAGTAACATAACTCATAACTCTTCGCCATTCCGTAAGCATGATTGCTACTTTGTATTTAGTTGAATATCACATTTTATCAATCTATTCTATGCGTAACCAGCTTGTTGTAATATTCCTTCACTCATAAAGACTTCATTTTGCGATACTTTGAATTGTGATAACCTGAAGCATTGAGACATATGTTATTGTGTGTGAGTAACGTCTTCTCAAGGCCTTTTGGATAGATGATACAAGTTCTCTGAATTGTGAATAAGAAATGTGATAAATCCTCTTATATCTGTATCTATTTTAACTTTGATCATGAGCGATTTTGTTTTTTTGTTGTTAGTCCAAGTCTAACAATATTCTGTTGCGTGTTATTGATTGGTGTGGGGAAAAGTTGGCATGGAGTTTTGGCATTTCCTCACCGAAATATTATTATATAATTGAGAATGCCAAAATGAGAGCGTCAGAAACAGATTTCATTGACTTGGGTGATATGGATGATCCACATGTCGCCATTCTTCAGGTAGTCTACTTGTTCAATATCAATCTCACATGTTTTAATTATCGCAAATGCACTAACCGCTTGCATATAGTCTGTTTTTGTGTGATATCATGAATGTTTAGCTTTTTTGATTATATAACTATATGTAAGTTCAGAATTGACAGGACCATCATCATTTGCGACTTATCTTGTTTATTCTAATACTGATAAATTCAGTAAAAAGTATTAATTATTAGCATTTCAACTAAAAGTAGTCCAATGGTTACCACTCTTTAATGTGATTGTTATTGTAGTTTTCCAACCAGACTGAAGGCAGATCAGCTTATTCTGCATTTATTTATCGTTTCTGCTAGTCATTAAGTCATTTACAATGTAAATAAATAAATAATATATTTATAATATCCCGATGAGTAGAAAAATTAGATTTTCTGACGTTTCATGATCTAGTGTAAGCCACTTCTTCAGAGAATAAATAACCAAATTAAAATTAATTCAAGTTTAAATAGTACAACGGAACAACACGAATATTATGTGATCAATCTATTCATTGGGACATCACAAATATATTATTTATTTATAACCGTCTACCCAATGTTCAGTTTAATCGAAATTATCAAGTTAAACCTTGGTAATGATGCCTACAAATGTAAATAAATATTTCGTCCTGTAGTTTACACATCATATATACTACAAACCGAATTGAAATATAACTTATTTCCCTGTAAATCCTTTATGTAGTTATAGCACGAATATCTATAAATTTATCTCATTCTCCTACAAATTAAATGATTATTTGATGTAAAAATATTTATTATCTGGGATCTCGAAGCATTAAAATCTAAATATAATATCGATCAAGCTGTCGTTTAATTATAAATTAACACAACAGATTTATTTCGGTTAAGTTAATCAAATTTTCAAGCTGTGGTGCTGGAAAATGTTATTTCAGGGCTGCCATATTTCTCATGAAATTGTTTTCAGTGTGTTCAGTTTTTGTCTTTCCATTACAATACGACTACCTTGAAAGCTTTCTCTTTTTGTTCATTCAAACTTAACCTTACCATCAACCTTGCTTCTATGCTTTTACGTTTTGAAAATATGTTGTTTAATATATGGTCTCTGAAGTCGCATTTCTCTTCTTTTTCTTCCGTTTTTACAGTGTTCGGTGCCAAATAAAAACTATACTCATCCATCAGTTCTTTCATCTGGCTAAACGTATCGTGAATAGTTTGACTAATTTTTCTTGAATCTTTGTGACTTTTCATTGTTTATTTACTATCTATAAGACAATCCAACCCTTAAAGTAGTATTGTCAGATATTCTATCACATGTGGAATATATCATATTGTTTTAAGTATTTATATAATTCACTATGAACGTACTAATTACTTTCTGGCTGTAATTTTTGTACAATTTTATCTTCTGTTAAAAATGTGTAAAAGATGCTTATTTATTGTATACTTCAGAAGTGGTTTTTCCTTTGCTTATTGATACATATATTTCATCATATACTTTGTAGGCATTCCTTTTTTTGTACCAAGTATATTGCATCATTGTATAATTTACTTTTTCATTCTGTCGACAAATTATTGAAACTCAATTATCAAACAACACAAGATCACGTAATTCAACTTCAAACATTAAGTATTATGTTAGGACAAATTATTTGTTGCCCGAACCGAAGTGGATAGATCGTAGCTCAAATCTTTGATACGCTGATTAAAAGCCACAGCACCAATCTATCGTATAATATATATGATTTAACTTTTCTGACATCCGAACAAGATTCAGCGTAATTATAACACACTTTTTAATGAATTATTGATAGCAATTCTTCCACCTAGTAAGAATAGACTTAGTAGTAATTTTTTGATTGAGATCATGAATCAATTGATGTTAGACCACCGTTGGAAACCTGGAAGCACTAGACGGCTGTTCCGTCCTAGGGACTCCTCAGCAGTGCGCATCCACGATCCCGCTCCCCGCGAGATTCGAACCCAGGACCTATCGGTCTCGCGCCAGGCGCTTAACCAACTAGACCACTGAGCTGGCATCCAATGGTGTTAGTGTCTAACATCAACCAATCCACGAAATTGAGCTACCAACTTCCATTGTACTGAGGTAGATACCTGTCTCTACCCGACACGGATTAGCTCCACTGGTCACGGCTTCTCACTAGAACTCCGAGAATTCCCTCACGAAGCTAGTCACTAGTGCGCACATGTTAATTATCAGTATGGGGGTTGTGGGTGCGCACTGCTGAGGAGTCCCATACTAGGACGGAACGGCCGTCCAGTGCTTCCAGGTTTCCAACGGTGGTCTAACATCAATTGATTCATGATCTCAATCAAAAAGCTTATCAATCTCCACAACCCCCATTCTGATAATTAGTAGTAATTGCTGATTATATTCATAACTAAATGGACATCCCTTCACTATTTGTTTAATTCTGAAAATACTGTTTGCATTACTTCGCTATTATACTATTAATCCATCAGTTACATTTGTACGGTGTTAAATGTTTAATATATTGCAGTTTAATAAAATATCAAAAATTGACATCTAAAGTTTAGTAATAATTTCGACAGGGAAACCCATCCACTTGAAATTTCGTAGGTGAACTGATTTGAACTAAATCTGCGGTCAAAGTGAGGTTTTAAGTTAGCCAATTTTCGCGAAAAATTTCAATTCATTTGTAGCTTCTTTCTAGTTATGTGTATACATGTATACAAAATGGAAATTCTACCACCTAATCTTTTTGGTCCTAATTCGGAAAAGATACGGTATATATTGAACTACTAGCAAATTGTCAGTAGTTAAATGATTTAGACGAAAAGCATATACCTTCTTTCTAATTGTACTGACAGCTTCATCACCTTTGTCACATATTGACTGGAGGCAGTAAATTAGATCAGTAACCGTTTCTGAAAAGTTTTTTAACTACATGCTAGTCCATAACAGCCTTGCCGTAGAATATAAGTTGTTTTATGGTTTATGTTTCTGAATTATAGAGAAGCTTCATTATTTATGCATTCAGTTTTACACGACAAGTAGGAGACCCAAAACTGTATGCTCACAATCTATTCCCAAAATTAATTTGTCGGTATGAGGTTTAGTCATTTTCGTAATGCTTGTCACCTTGAATATAGTAATTCCAGAGATTTATCGTTTAGTCACTTAAAGTCAATACCCAAAGTGTTAGTTTATTTCAAGTTACAAAACTTTGTTTTCTGTCCCATAGTTGGTACTGTCTCCAGTTTCTACCCTACTCATTGTTTATGTCTGTACGTAAGCTAGTGATTGGAGGTAGTCGTTAGAAAGTCTTGGATTTCGTGCTAGTTGAGACGCGTTAGCAAATTGATTGGTATAATTAAGTCGCTATTGAGAAATAAATGACACATGATACTCGTCACTAATCGGTGAATAATCTATTGTAAATATTTTTATGTCATTGGATTGACAGTAGTAATCATTATATACGTTTAAAAACTGACATCTACTAGAAGTATATGGATCACGAAAAAGTTCTAATTGGGGCTCCATTTCTTTTTAATACCCTTCAAAGAAGTGATTTGAAACCATTTTCTTGTAAATCGTTTGAAGGATTACGGTAGTTAAGTTCAAATCAACATTTTAACCTATGTGTAGCATGTATGTACTTTTTATCCGTAAGTCCTAGTCAGAGTATTGATCTAATTTTCATTCTTCTTGAACTCCATAATTTCGTTGACTTTATTTATATCTGTTGAACTAAACTATATTACAATAAATGAATGATGAAAACATTACAACTGCAGGTGAAGTTGTTTCATCCTAGTATGCTGATGTTAATTATTTGTCAGTTTTTAATCTCTGTTGAGTAACCAGGAAATACTGAATATATATTTCGTTCTAGCGCACGAGACTATCTACAAACTAAACTGGACTCCACAGATCTATAAATCAATTCATCTGTCTATCAATTCAATTGTTAATTACTTTTTAAGCATTTTATAAAAATCTCATCTAACACTTTAATTCTTATATTGAAACTGTACTGTTAAAGGTACATGTGGAGAATTTAAGTGACATTTATTACATAAATATACATTGTCAACATGAGATGAAATCATTAGTGACTTAATTTGAAAATTCATATTTCATTCTTTGTGCTCTTTTACAAAATTCAGGTGTTTTGCTCTCTGAGCTAGATGATTTGGTTGTGGAGCTTTCATTATTCTTCTGAACAATATCATCAGCATAGACTTCAGATAGAAGTGAAGTATTCGGATTTCTTTGTTGATGACTAACAGCTTATGCTGTCGACCTCGATCGTGATTGGTTAATGTAGGCTTTTAGTGTCTTTTAAATTCTAGATTTCAATATTCTTCAAGCCGAACGTGTGTCCACGATTGTCCATATGCATTAACATAAGCAATGATGCTATTTGATATTCGTTCAGGAGAAAATAAAGGGGGAATTTCGAAATCTTGGATAGAGGGCGTACTAAGAACATCAGAGAATTTGTAGAAGCTAGGCAACCAAGTCAATCAAAAAAACATTGGAATTGATCTAACTTATCAACCAATCACAATAATCGTTGACAAATATGGGACTAAGAATCAGGTCAAGAGGAGAAACAATCAAAATAAAGTTGCAACGAATGACATGTTATGTCTACATTAACCAATCACGATCGAGGTCGACAGCATAAGCTGTTAGTCATCAGCGAAGAAATCCGAATACTTCACTTCTATCTGAAGTTTATGCTGATGATGTTCAGAAGAATAATAAAAGCTCCACGACCAAATCATTCAGCTCAAACAAAAGAACTTCACCTTTGTCATCCACCTAAACTACACGTCTTCTCTACTAACTCATCATTAAGAATTGAAGTCACACTAAAATAAATAAACAGTTCAAAAAAAGATTAGATAAAAGAACAAAAATATTAAAACCATATTGTAATTAGTTTTTTTCTTTTTCGTTTCTTCAAGTGATTGGCATAATGAAGTAATATGGTAACACAGCTTTAGCAGAATAGATTATATTTATTGTGTAATCATTAAGTGGGAAACATAAGAACAAGAATAGAAATGGTAATAACAATACTAAAATTAAATAAAAGCTACTGTAAACCATAATTTGTTTATTTGAAGTTCTCTTTTTATTCTTACGGTCCTTTTTTATCGACGAAATAAAGGTGTTTCACTTGGTTCTTAATTATTATGAAAACGAAAATGTAATTGGCATTTAAATAGCTTTCTTTATTTAATAGTTTGAAGAATTATATATATATATATATATATATATATATATATATATATATATATATATATATATATATATATATACTTGGGAATAAACATGTGTGTTGCAGAAAATGCTGAAACTGTTCTTCTTCATCAAATTATTAACTAGGAAATATCATAACAAGAATAATATAGATTAGAAAAAGCAAAATAGGAGTTCAACTGAAAAAGTAATAAAAACATGAAGAACAAAATCAAGGGATTATCAATTTGAATAAGCATGCGGTATAATATAACATAAGTTTAATAATAATAATAACAATAATCACTTCAAACACCAAGTATATGGATTCATTATAGTCTAATTGAAGTATTTATACGACTCCTGTTGGTAGATAACGATAATAATGAGGATCACGTCGGGAACGACACAAAAGACGTTTAATTCTTCCCCTTAGTTCAGAAGTCTGACTACCTTCAGGATACACTAATCCCTTCCCATAGCCCTACAAATAAAATACAAACATATTATAGGAAACTAGGAGACTTTGGTTATAACAAATATTTTACTTACATGCATACTTATATTTCATATCTAAGGATAAGTTTAAAATTGTTAGTAGCTCATAGTAAATAGAATTATATCAGCAATATCCATTAACATTCTAGTTCTGATATCGCTCCTGTAAATGTACATTTTACTGAATGCAATTGTAATTGAATACTTTTGCTTCAGAATTCTTAAATTTTTCACAAAAAATTCAATAATTTCGTCTTACAAATATAAGTGATTATTAACAAGTTTAGTGATTCCAGTCACCCAAAAAGTTTGTTTATCACTAATCATAGGTTGTTTTTTTGTGTGTGTAGAACTTCATTCTTTCCTAATAGATTACTTGTTAACTACTTATCTTGATTGTATTTTATGTAACAGTTCGAATATGATTTATGTATACGGTTCGTTATATTAAACCATTATATTGTATATTCCTTTACATTACTGAGTGTATATGATATCATGAACTGAATCAAGTACATATAAGTAGAAACATTTTCACAACTGTTACTTTTAAACAATTATGATGAGATGGAAAGTAATGTTCGTAGAATTTTCCTTTCAAACTACACACATTTATATGAATATATGTTATATGTAGTTTATTTAATGAAATAAGTAACATTCCAAGAAATTTATAATATTTTCTATAATATCAGTTAAATTATTTGCATGGTTACATTTTCTTCCAATACATAGGCACATTTATAATACACATATTCATGCATCAAATAGGAATAGTTGTCTATTCAATACAATATATGAAAACCAACAGTTATTATGTTAGACTAAACAATATTGAATAATACTGAGAGTTAAAATAAATCGTACCCATGCAAAATACATACATATTTCATGCATATATATCAATGTTTCAATGTATTTACGATTGTTTCATTACATAAATTGTATTTTAACTTCTAATTACGAAAATTTAAATAATTAAAACAAATGAGTTTTCCATTAAATCTATTCAATCGAATTGTCATACATGTTCGATAGTATTTTATTAAAGTAATAAATATAATAGTAAAGGAGTTTTGATATGATAATTACAAAAATACATCATACTATTACTAATTATTTAACAGGTATCAGCTTTTAAATTATATTTCGTCTATAAGAACAACAATTTTCTTCTGGTAAAGTTATCATAGCTGTATCTTATTAGCTTCCGGAGTAAACTACCTATTCCCTCTCTAACTAATATTAACCACAAATCATTATTATTATTATTATTTTTCCGACTATACCATTGTTGTCTTTGGACTTGTATAATAAAGATTTGTCTCAAGCTCTGATGTATTCAGACTTGGTCCATGTGATCTGTATCCATTCAATTCTGGCATTCTAGTATGGAACAAATACTCCATTTGTTTATTGATTTATATGACCAAAATTATCATCAAAGAAGTCATATATATATTACATGCATTGCAAACAGTAGTTACATAGGAATTTAAATGGTATCAGAGCCAATAACAGTGCACAGGTCAGCGATTATTCGATAAATTTTGCGGTGATATATAATTTCACAGTAATGATAGAAGAAGAAGGTACAATTAGTTATATTAATATTGTAAAGACAGTTACGTAATTTAACGTATGTAATTTGAAATATATATATGTACATATATATATATATATATATATATATATATATATATATATATATATATATATATATATATATATATATATGTACATATATATATGTGTAAGCGTATATAGTTTATGGAAATAAACGGTATAATTGTCAATATCATGCAGGAGAAATTGAAAAAAAAGGAGAAAAAACAAATATGATAAAAAGAACAAACGAGAATCAATGAATTATTATTAAGATTAAATTATTTTAATGCTCAATTTTATAAATTTTCATTGGTTAAAGGAGATAAAGAACATAATGGTATGACTTGGCTACGTCTAATAAAGTTAGTTATTTTCATCATTTCATGACTTAATAAAAATACAATCCATCGTAATAACTGAGAGTAGCTCTCTTATTTCTAGTAGTAGAGGTAAAAAGAAATACCATTAGAAAGCCATCTTATTGTTTTTAGTTCATTTTTAATTAGGGATAGATATCATCTTCAAGTGGCATTCTTATTGTTTATACCTAATATTATTGTTATTAATGAGTATACTACTCATATGTGAAATCATTGATGTCGAAATATATGCGTTGAAATCGATAATCATCAACCATACTCTAGAAGAGGTAATTTAATAACTAAAGTAAATGAATTCAAGCCATTAATTTGCAAGTTTAAATCCTCTATCATACCTTCTTTAGTTTAGATAACCACTACCATTTACATAGATACAAATAGAAAAACACCCCAGTATGATTCAAATTTAATAGATGGTATGCAAATATCTAAACTAAATTCAATGAACAAATCACAGTCAACATGGAACTAAGGTAACAAATTTATTGAAAAACTTTCAATCTATAAATACATACAAATGTTAACAATGAAATAAAGCCAATCAAATAAACAAGCAAAACAGTGGAAGATTTTTTCTACTGTATTTTGTTTTCCATATCTTTTGTATTCAACTAAAATTTGTGCATTATGTTCATAGGAGAAACTATGTGAATTTACATACACTTTATTTTGCAGTAAGAATGTGATATAAATATTTCTCAAAGCAAAATTCATTGAAAAATAAACATTTTAAGCAGTAACATCATGCTCATCCCTTTTTTTTTCATCAACCAAAATTAGCAGCGGTTTTTTTTAATTTTCAGCTAGTCATATGCAGAACTCACGTGGTTCGACGGCCCATTCTATTGAAGAAAAGCGTGTTAGTACACTGCTTTTTGTTGTTGTTAATCTTATTAAAATACGTTAGTACTATGAATAAATGAGTTGTGGTTATATTTATAAACCTAATTCTTGAATAGCTTGTTTAATTTCCTTCCTTTCAACTTATTATTTCTTCAGTCTTAATGAAGGGTCTTTTAACATATACAATGTCTCAAGAAGTCTTAGAACAGAAATGACATTGACTGCGGGTTGTAGAGGACTTAATTCAAAAATATTGAATTCCTTACCAGTGACTTAAACTTATGCTGGTTATCGTAGAATCTGTATATCATGGGTTTGATTTCGTGTGGGATTTTAGATGTGTATATGTGGAAAGTCCTAACTTGAAACAAAAACAACTGTTCTGTTTTTATTGGTTCTCAGTTATTCTTCAGCTAGCATTCAGTCTTGATGAAATTTGTATTCAAATATACGGAATATATAAACGTTATTTGTATGAACAATCACCACTATACAAGTGGTTTCTCATCAAAATAGAAACATGGTCGAATAATTCCCCTTTCTGAATGTACTGAAGTAAAAATTACTAATAAACAAAATATATTACTAAACGTAAATTCATGTAGATCTACTTCAGAGTTGGATTTTCTTTTTAACCGAATTATTTATGAACTTGTTATAAATTAGTGTAATATAAAAAACAAAATTGGATACTTAATCTTGTTTGACGTAACAGACTGTTATTAATCTTCCAAACGATAATATTTACAATATTATTTATCAGTAGTATTAAGAAACTTGATATGTTGTTTTGATTCTGCGTCTGAATGACAACGTTTAGCGAATTGATGATAGTTTGTTATGATAAATCCTATTGAAATAAACTAGAGAATCATTATCATAACAACTGCTGATTTTCTCCTCAGTTGGAGTAAAACTCCCTGCTGATAGATAGTTTATCAGCTCTGATTTACGAATGAATGCCATTTAAGCTTTCTTTTTAACCAATTACTTCCAGTCGGATATATTTTCATATTTATAAAATTTAACAGTTCCTCTTTCAAAACTGAATTTACTTATTAACTTAACAATAAATTACCAATTTATATTTTGGGAATTTTTTTAAGTATGAGATTATTAAGAATATTTGTAGGTTAGGATAGATATTCACAGTTTATTGATCACTAGGTTGTGATCAATGTCATGTATGCCAGGTCCTTCTTAGTGCAGATTGAATCCTATCGACCAAGTAGCAATGTGGTCACCAGTCTAGGTGACTCGACATTGCGTGAACTATGTTGAGATAAGATGGTGGTTGGAGGTAGTCAACATGAAACCCTGGACCTAGGTTTTGTGCACTAAGAAGGACCTGACATACATGACATTGATCACCACCTAATGACCAGTCAATTGTAAATACATCTCAGTCCTACAAGAGACCACTCGCGGCCCAGATAGCTCAGTGGTAACGTCTCTGATTATGAAGCTGTGTGACACAGGATGGAATCCGTCAGGGAGCATCAGTTCCCTCAAGATTACAGGTACGTCTTACTGACGAATGCCAAGTGGTTAAGATAAATTATATGGAGTTGTATTCTCTCAGCTGGGTGGTTTATTTGTGAAGCTTCCATTATCCTTTCTATGACAAAATATATTGGAATAAGTACTTATGGAGAAAACTTAATTATTCTCTTGGAAATGCCTACTTTATAGAGAAATTCCCTAATACTTGAAAGATTCATGACTAAATTAACTAGCTCAGAGAATACTTTTTCTTTTAAGATTTTAAGTTATTCAGCCGGAGTTTGACATCGTAAATCAGCACTCTATATTTAAAGACTGAGGCATGTAAAATTGGATACAGTAATAGAAAGATTTTAGTTAACAAAACTTTGATGTACTAGCGCAACAGTGATAATAAAAGCCAAAGGATCAATCTACAAACAGCCTGTGTAAGAATGTACTCAAGTCTTAATAAGTCAACAGTTAAATTTGTCAAAGTGTTATCTACACAAAAATTTAAGCCAGCTACAATGTGTACTCTCAGATAGTTTTTCCTTATACTAAATCCAATTTTGTGTCATTAGTTTTGACTGTTTTACATTAAGTTTCATGAGTAGCTTTACTTTTCCTCATTATCCTAGATGTTCTTATCTCGTAATTCATTTCATATGAGTTTTATCTTTCTTAATATCCGAACAATTTATTACGTAGTCAGGTTGCACAGAATGAACTGAGATGATACATGTATGATACATGGTTCTGAAACATCTTGTCTTCTTGTCATACACTATCTAAATGTTTGAGAAAGACTATTTTAACACTCTTCAATTATATTACCATTAGTAAATATTTTTAATACACTATTAACATTCAATTTTTCGTGAAATCCTTATGTTAACCATAACGATGGTTTAGTGCTATGTTACTATGACAAGTGGTATATAGACATTGAAATTTGTTTTCTGGTCCACTATAAAGACCTAAAATGCTTCTTAACCAGAATTGCAAACCCTCATTTTATTTTAAATTGTCCTATTTTCATCCGTTAACCACTAACGGAAAATTATTTCCGGTCCTTCAGAAATGTGGAAACTTAACAGAAAACAATCGATAATATTTTTAGATAGAATAATGTTTAAAGCATCAAAATATTTAAAGTTGAAATAATTATAAATTCAAGAAATGTGCTTGTTCAATATTACTAATTAAGACTGATTTATTTTGAATAAAGCTAATAGTATTACTTAAAAAAGGAAATCGAACTAAAGGTGTAATGCTTAAATACGATAGCAATGACTACTGGTATTTTTTTATCATGATGAATGAGTCAGTACCTATGAAGCTGAATACTCTATCACACTTAACGTTCCCTTTTTTTGGGGGGGATTTTCAGTTGAATTATTTCCACTTAAATTTTATGAAACTGGTGTATATGTCTATATATAATAAAGTGTAGTGAAATTCTTCCATAAATTAAATATAATACTCTTTGTGAAGTAGGTTAGTGTGACAATGTAATGTTTGTCAATCCATAATTTATTCCAGGAACTAATCATTGGAAACGTTTAAATAATTAACACTGGCTCTGTAATCGTATCATGAACTAGACTGAAATATATTTTACATCTTTTATAACTTTACCATCGATATTTTTGTATCAACTCTTTTTTTTAGATAGAATGTTAAGACATTCACACAAAACAATAAATTATAGGAGGTATTTACACACCCATCATATAAAACTACTCTATGTATAGCATTCATATAACAGTACATGGAAAAAAGTAAATAGCAATAAAATTTTGTTAGATAAGTCGTTTGTTAGAAGATACCAAATTCAAATATCTGTCCACTCAACGAACCTGCTTGCAAGTTGTTGATATTTTGATTCAATTCGATCTTGTACTGATGCAGTTGTAGCGTTCATATCAATTCCGGAGTAACGATCAAGCATTTTCCGATGAACATCTAATTTGTCATTCAATGCACGTAGGGATCCCCTCATTTCCCTGTAGTATTCAGGTGAGGGCAATTTGTATTCCAGTAAATCGTCCATACGACGCTATTGAATAGCGTGAAATTACATATATACGATGTACAATTATAAAAATATTTGAAAACTTATTTTTGACATAAAAATAGTGTATATTAGTTTACATATTAGAATACATGGAAAATATACACTGTAAAATTAAGAAAAATTTGGTAACAAATCATATTAATCTAGTTGATAAGCATCAGTCTACATATTGGTTGTGTAATTAGTGTCCATATTGCAGCCTACGAATAAGCAAGTGATATTGCAAAGTATTCACACAGTTTCATAATTTACAAACAAAATAAACCCATGCTGATGACCAATGAAAATAGTTTCAGTGAAATTAAATGCTTAAATTCAAATCGGATTTGTGTAAATTGTAATTATTTATTGATAACAATTACTCCTGTCAAATCAGGTAATTTTTGTTATTAGTAATAACCAACTGGGTGGTCAAATAAATTTTTAATGTTTCGCAGTCATGTGTGATCCTGATCTTTAAAGGATATAATCTAGAATAGTAACAGAAAGAAATAAGGTCTAACAGTTGGTGAATATTAGAAAACATAAAGTGAACTATTATCCTGTCTGTTTAACATAAACAAACAAGATGTACTTTTTTTTCAAAACATCAAAATGTATCTGAATAGATGTCTGAGTGAAATTTAAAATGAGAATGAATAATTCAGTCTGTGTTTATATTGGTTATATTTATTCAAACAAGTTGAATGGGATATTTATGACATGGCTTGTATGTTTAGCACAGTTGAAATAAACATTCATTGGAGTGTCTTGTCTTTCTTCATACTTACTAAAGAATGTTTCGAATCAAATGTTCTCAATACTGACCTTATGTTTACTAGCTTTATCAGTCAGATATAGCCTATTCAGATGTTCAGTTGGTGTTACAATGTGCTATCATGGTTTCTTCTTTAATGAAGTAGTTTTTGAGTACTATGTAGGGATGATATTTATTTAATGTCTTCTGAACTTTGAAGTCAGCGGAACATTCTCTTGAACATTTATATAATATAGGAAATCCTCGTTTTTTTGAAAAATGAGACTAAATCTGATAAGTGATTCATCTTCAATAACTAAACATTCATGATCAAATATTACAGCTTGAAGAACTATTCAACAATCGTGTAAAATTGACACACTTTACAAGATACGTTTCATCCAAGTCATTTTGTAAAATATTGCAAACATTGTGAAACCTATGAATAATTGTACAGTATAATACATCTCGTGAAAATAAATTCACACGATCAGGATTCAATAATAACTACCTCTGAATTATTGCTGTTAGTTTAATTCATTTTATATCAAATTTTAGATATCAGTAGGAAAGATTTTAAAAACAGAATTAAGACTAAACTTCATTTATAAATTGAATGACATTTTAGTTTGTATATTAACTTACACACTTGATCAGATACCAAACAACAAAGAAAAGAAATGGAATCATTCAACAGATAATGAAATATAAGTAAATTATGAAACTGATTATATGTAACATGAAAAGTTTATCAAAACTGTAACCAAGCGTTTTTTTAAAAAAAACAAACAAACAGGAAATTGAAAATAACTAATTATCAATCGAATACCTATTTCTAGAACAAGAGTATGTTATGGGTCATTTTAATCCAGAGGATGCTAATAGACATACACAAATTATTGAGTCTAACTAGTCCGTTATATATTTTAATAGAAAAATGCGAAGACGGAGTTTATCTGAAAAATGTGATGTATTTGCGCTATACATTTCGAACAATCTGATCCATTATATATATTTGAAATGTGTTGTAAGAAAATGGCTAAGCAGAAGTGTGCTCGTTTTAACATTTAATGTTTCCCAAATGAACATATTTTCTATGAAACTCCATGCAGAGATATTTGTATGTTAGCTGATATTGAATAAATTCTATATGACTATTCTCAAAACACTGGTGAATTCATAAATAATCAATTATGAGATTTATTGGAAATATAACATTTAAGTTTAGTAAAAGTCAGTCATATAAAGAAGGAAACAAATCAAGTAAGTAATCTAGAATCATGAATATTCAAAGGTAACAGAACAGTTTGTGGATATATATTCAAATATTGTCGAGCTTGTAGAGGATCAACTGATGGGTTTTAAAAAATGATTGTAAAGTAATTAATTACACAATGTACTTGCTTCAATCTCAGATATGTCTTTTAGCTATACTTATTGGTGTCATTACCCAGCTGATTATTGTTATACTTTGTTGAATGTATTTGATTGTGTGTCTTTAAAATTAGGGATATGCGTTCCTGAATTGTATTAATTACTACAAATAAATGTTTGTTACCATAACATTTTAGGGATAACATTTTTCAACTAATTTGATAATTAGCTACTTTTGATAAAAATCAGAAGTGTTTTGAAATAACATTGAAACACAACAATACAAGAAATTATCAACTATATATACTTACATTGTTTCTTTAAAAAGAAATATAACAGAAGCTACCGTTTTTAAATAGATTTGTCATATGTGCCTATAAAGGTTAATAGTATATCAATTTGAATGAAAAATGGAGATTTTATTATCAGAATGGGTTTTGTGGAGATTTTTTAGAAATTTCAATGGTTGAAATCATGAGTCATTTGAAGCTAGACCACCATGAATTGGTTGAAGTTAGACATTAACACCGTTTTGTGCTTCCAGGTTTTCCATGGTGGTCTAGCTTCAATTGACTCATGATTTCAACCATTGAAATGGAGATTTATTTATTTATTTAACAAGGAAATTGTTTTATCAAGAATTTCAGGAAAATATTTGAGATCATTCAATATAAAGATTATGCTAACTGAAATTGAAATCTACAGCCATGTTTATAAGATTTCGTCAAATATAGTTTGCCCTTACGTAAATGATTAATAATATGTTCTCAAATTCTAGAGATGCTACAGAATGAAACAACTGTACAAACTAAGTATTATGTAGAAACATTAATTTCAGTGTTGATTAACACATTTCTTCTGTAGATTTACTATTTGTTGAATTAAATTTAAAATCCAATATTTGAGTTTCAGTGTAACTATAAGTATCGAATATTAAGCCTAATGCTTTGTAAAGGCTGTCATATATATAATACAAGTGTTTTTCAATGTACGGGGTCATGTATATTGATATTATCTAAATTCAACCATTACATTATTATCTTTATGCTTTACTAAATAATATCACACTCATTTATCATTCCAGCATTTACTCTCAAAGTAATTTAACAACTGACAAGTTATTCAATTCAATGTTAAAACGATGACGTAATAATCGTATAAACAATTGAGTATCTTCATTAGAATGTAGTTTATTCAATAAGAAAAAGAGAATTCAGCGAAGAAAATTTTCTTTTCGACGAAATCATTTACTTAAGCTGTAGATTCGTATATATAGTTACATGGCAAATATATGTCTATAGAAGGATAGAAAGGATTGTATAAAAAAAAGTGGATTCAAGAATAAATAACAAATGAGGTTAACGTACTAATCAAGGGGTAAGGAAGAACAGAATTTATCGGTCAGATAATAATCCAATATACGAATGTACAGCTTAAGTAAATGATTTCGTCGAAAAGAACATTTTCTTTGCTGAATTCTTTTTTTTCTTATTCAATGATGCTATGGGTTATTTTAATTATGTAGTTTATCCATTTATTTTCTTTTAAACTACCCTTATATTGAAAGGATAATGATATTTATAACATTTAATTAAAAAGTATTCATTGCATAATCAGTTTATGATATTGTTACTACCGTTAAGTTGTGTAATGTAATTTCTGTATTTCAACTTAACTATAACGCTCTATGACGCGATTCCAAATATTCAGTAAAGAAAAAAATGAAAAAAAACGTAACTTTATTATTATTATTTCACTTTTTCGAAATTCATCTATAAGTTATGTTGTAAAGTGTTTTAGAATAGAAACTGTTATTATTTTCCACCCCTTAACAAATCTTTATTGATTTCTAGTAATTGATCTGAAATAGTTACCAAGAGTTTAAGATCTATATTATATTGATCAATATTTTATTTGATGAATCTACTTTTTTAAAGGTCATTTGGTGTAAAATTTATTTAAAAAAATCTTTGGTAGACAATGATAGTGTTTTTCGCATATTTAGAAAAGTATAAAACTACTGGTAATTATGTAAAAAAAGGTGTTATAGAAGAAAAGATAGCATAAAAAATATTTGTAAATTTTGTAACGTATATCGTTTATGATACTGGTTAGGTAAAAGAATGTTAAATGTAGTGTGTTCTGTCTATAAATCTACTTAGAGTTGAATCAACACATTTTTACACAAACATAATAATCTCATTATACACACTTTGTGTATTTCAAGCATTGAATGTACGCCACTGGAATGATTTCATCAAGGCATTTCTATCAAAACTGTAATTCTCAATCCATTAGATCTATAGATGATGATAATTTCATGTATAGCTAAAATATCTATACGACATAACTGACTGTCTTATTGTATGTATAATATTGAATTAAACAGAATGAATGGGTAATCTTTTATCTCAATGAATAAATCATCTATCTTGTTTTAAACTGTTTGGTTTCTTTACAAAGTGATCTAAATTAAATTTGATTATTCGAAGCTGAAATGCCATGCTAAAATGGGTTCAATTTGACTTTGTTTTACATTTAATTCTAGTATAACAGGTAAAGTTCCGGAAAGTTCTCAAATAACATAACTGACCAACTGATCAAAACATAATAGAAGTGATCAGTTATCATAAACTTATGAGAATTAAATTATGTACAAACTGAGACATATTCAAAGTCAAATACGTTTTCATTATTACAGTATTCATGAAAAACAAAATAAAAATTAACAAGATAATCAATGAAAACTTACTTCAATTCGTCTACGCTCAGCTTGCATATCACTAGACAAGTTACTATACGAACCTGAACTCGACAATGGTCTTGTAGTAACAACTGATGGATAATAATATGTATATCGTCTTGGTCCAATACTTGTATAAGTAGTTCTTATAGGTTCAATATTACTCTAAACGATTGAAGAAAAATCAGGTGAAAGATTTTAATAATAATTAGAGCTTCAACAAATATACTCCGACTTAGAATAAGGTTACATTGGGAATTTATCTATTTTCCCTGTATTTATATACGTTAAATTGAAAAGTATCATTGTAACTATTCTAAAATTCTACATTATGTAAGTCAAAAAATTGTAAATTTACAACTAAAAAATTAAACTACAATTCGCCGTATACCTTTTTAGAATTCATTTGCATGTCAAGCAGAGATGGATAGTGGCTAGCAGTGGAGACGAGGATGCGCATTCCATCCTATTCAAGACTCATCAGCTAGGTGTATTTGTACCCCAGAGTCGATATTCACTTTGGGACTCGAAACCAATAACATTTGCTTCAAACGCCATCACGTTATTCACTTAGCTACTGAGTCATGATAGCCACCTGCTTGTGCAGTGGAGTGAAGTTTAAATTCACTTGATATTGTTTGCTTGTATCTTTTCATTAATGTTTAGGACTCCATTTGATCAGGAACAATAAGAGACTGATCAAATACAGTCCTAAACAACAATGAAAACATACAAGCAAACAATACCAAGTGAATTCAATTCGGATATCCTTTAAAAAGTGAATACGGTGCTTTATGAATAGAATGTTTTTTGAACCGATAAGAAAGAGAAAAATAAAGATTAATGGTCAGATTTTATTCGTGAGTGATTTTCGAGAACACACTTATTCCATAAATGAAAAAAAATATTTAATACGACTAATGTGTTGAATGTATCTTATATACATATAGATGTATTAGTTTACTTAAATCCAATTAAGAATTTTTGCTCATTTGTTCTATCTTTCAATATCTATTAATTAAAGAGAGATTATATATATATAAGGTAAGAATTTAGTTTCTTTTTACATAATCAAAAGTTAGATATAACTCTTATCGCTGTGTAATAATGATAAAATGTACCAAATCTTTTGTTTGTTTGTTATTTAATCAACAAAATGATATTCATTTGAAAATGGATAATCTTCGTCAACTCAGTAATTAACATGAATTTCATATTGTAATCATTAAAATAAAAACATTTAGAAATAAGCTGACTTAAAATATCATACGACATTTTAATTTTTGTCGTATGACAACCAAAAGAATTTCATTCTTTCTTTCTTTGAAAATAAACTCGAAATAAATCTATGGAATGTTGTATTACAATATTTAAACAAATGTGAATGCACAATGGTAAAATGTTATTTTTCTTTTTCGTTTTTGCAAAAAAATGAAGGAGACAATTAGAATGTAGAAAATGACTTTTGCCTTTTTGTTTTACACGGGATTTAATATTGAATAACTTTTTCTGATTTAATCTTAACCATTGAGATGTATAAATGATTGTGTTAAACAAATTGAATACTCGTTTCTTTTCGTTTAGATTGTATATCATAAGCAACTAAACTTTAAAGCTTAAGCCTAGTTCCAATCAAGAACTTTTAGATAACTATTTGGGTTCTAACATTGGTTCAACAACAAGATGTTGTGTAACCATTCAGACGAATTTATATGTTGAATTGCTAATTTGTATACAGGAAATTCTGTAGAAAACTTTAATAAATATATTAATTATGTAAAATTGGTTTATCTTTTGACAGACTACTGTTATCGTTCTATAAATTGTAATGTTACAAAATCTGTTTCTCATATTGTTAGTAACTTAATTCGTTTCAATCATTTTAACAATTAATAAAAGTCGTTTTTATATCACATTTTTCAGAATCGACATGAACCACTAGTTCTTGAGTAGTCATAAAGCGTTTTAACTATGATGAATGTTCTTGTCTGTGGTTTGATAAAGGCATTCACATCGTAATTATAAAAACATTCTTTGTAATTTTAAGAACCTGACTGACCGTTTAAAAATATGGGATACATTCACTTGGATTAAAAGTTATTTTTTAATAACTTGACCCTCAGATTCTACACACACACAAGTTCATAAACATTTTATTACAGTGACCCGTAAAACGTCGGATTATAATTCTCAGTGGGTAATTATATAATACCTTTAGAATAGCTATTATATTAAAATATTGATAAATTTGTAAATGTCGAACCTGATGAGAAAAATACTGAAGCAAATTGTTTTGACTTATATTTCAGTAATATATCAATGGTGCATTCTAATTGTTTATAACAACACTGTTTTTTTTACCTGTCTACTTTTAATAACGGTGTAATCAACATGAAATTCAAATGTTTTGATCTTGATGATATATGATTATTTCTGATAAGCAATATCAATGAACATTATCAGTGAACCTATAAGTTTCGTCAGCAAGTCAGGAAATACTTTTGTAACCTATGAAATGAAAAATATTTTTACATAGATTGATTGGTTTTGTAACCTTTCAAAGTTAACAGTAACCTGTCTTAAAATGTGGCACTTATAGGTTTAGTGTTTTCTGATTAGAATATTAAAGAAATTCCTCTTTCATGTATAACACATAAGTAGATTATATATATTGATGCTATTTTTCTGTATAACCTTTTCAATGATGATAAAATACTTTTATTTACTATTCACTACTAAAAATAACTGACCATAGTATTGGTAAATTTTAAAGCGTTTCTAAGGAATTTGATATAAATAAATTTCTTTATCAATAGTTAGAATTCTAAAGTAATCCGTTTAGATGATAATGTCCACAATGTTTGTTTAATGAGTAATTGTAAAAACATAAACGATGATATAAAGCTATCTAAGAAAGACAAGTAATATACAGTGATACATATTATAAAACTTGAAATTTATATTTCCGAGGTTTTTGGGTTTAAAATTCTCAAAGTGCTTTATCTTCTAATGTTTGTATTTACACGGTGGTTAATTGTTATGATATCATTATTCATGCAGTTTATATGGCGTATTATATTTTAAATCAATTCATCAACCAGGTTAAAGTAATAACACAAAAACTATTAAAACTTCTCTGATGAAATGACTGGATAATACATGCTAAAAGACATGATGTACAGTAGTAGTATAGGCATGAGGAAAATAGTACATTAAGTTACTATGATCGTACAAAGTATGAACTACTTACATATGTTGATGTATAATATGGTGTTTCATAAATATACCGATTCGTTCTGTAATTTCGATGTACAACAGGTGGCAATCCATAATCTGTACTAGTTATTGTTGAACGATACGTCCCAACTGCTGACGGTGGCACTGAACTCAAACGACTAGTATGCAGTGGAAAATTACGGCTATATGATGTATGGATTACACGTGGCATACCGTTCTCCTGTGATTAAGAAAATAGAACAAAATGATTTGCGTAAATAATTATAAAGATAGATTAAAGATTATAGAAGGTTTTGTACTTTAAACTAATTTCCTTCAAAGTATCCGATGAAAACTTTAGGAATTTATTGATAAGAGCATCAAATAAAAACCCTGACCCTGGATTTTGGGTTAATCGGCACTTGTCAGTAAGATGTATTTATAATCTTTTGAGAACTTATGGTATTTGTTAGATTTGATTCATATGGAGTTTTGTTCTCTGAGATAGGTGAATCGGTCGTGGATCTTTCATCGTTCTTCTGAACGACATCATAAGCACTAACTTCCACCTAAGCTACAAATCTTCAGCATCATCTCAAAGGTTTGATTCCATTTACCCCAATACGACAGATAGATGAATCGAATCAGTAGTTTACGCATCAACTGATCTCATGTTGATATGTGATGTTTATATAAATTCGTTTACTTTGGCTTTATGTTGAGATTTCATAAGATAACTCTCAATAAATTATATTTATGATCAGATAAAAGTTGAAAGTTGATATGATGTTCAATAAAAATAAAGTTTACTGGCAGTTTAATATAGAAATGTACAAGTTCTCAATACACAAAGAGCTCTATCTTCAAATAAGAAAACTAGATTAATTGCGTCAGATACTAACAATTTCATATCAAATATTACTAGAATTAATAGTGAGACGTTACATCAGTAGATAAGAAAATGTTGTCTTCTAAATAGTGTTACATTGACAACGTACTTGAAATAAAAGCAAAGCAGAGCATTACAATGAAAGCAGTGAAAAATAAGATTCTGGTGCTACGAAACCATAGGCTCTGTTGCAATAATCCCAAGAAACTAATCTTTAAAATGTTAATTTTCAACCAACTTTTTATCCATAAACACATAAAATATTATATTTAATATCAGGAAGGAGTTTTTTGTGGCAATTATAGTAAATTAATGATTGAGATTATGAGTCAATTGAGGTTAGAATACTATAGAAGACCTGGAAGCACTGAACGGCCGTTTCGTCCTATTGTGGGACTCCCCAGCAGTGCGCATCCACAATCCCGCCATGCGAGATTCGGACCCACGACCTATCAGTCTCGCGCGTGAACGCCTAACCTTATGACCACTGAGTCGGCAACCCATAGTGTTAATGTCCAACTTCAACCATTCCAAGAATTTGAGCCATACGTTCACCATTGTCTTCATTGAGTTACTATCTCACAACAGACCCGATTGGACGCCAGTGGTCACTGCTTTATGTTGGTTTTTGCTAAATATAGTATCACTGTATCTGGTATTTTAAGTTCCAATACACATATACATTGAATTTTCACTGAGTGTAATACTTTTAATCTACCCTATATACTTCTACTAGTTTGTAAAATACTACTGAAACTGATTACAAAATTGTACAATAAATGATTTTTTCAGAAAAAAACCATTATGCTAATTTACAATTCATCTTTAATGGTATCAGTCCATGATAAAAAAAGTCATTTGAAATTGAATCATCTTTATATATTTACATTCCCTTACGTTGGTCACTTCAGAAATAATTTAAATGATCATGTTTTCTATGTTTAATTTATGAATATGGTGTATGTCACTTATGCTGACATATATAACTAGTATGTAACACTAATCATAAGTGGAATATTTGTCAGCAGAAGATTGAATTGAAATGAACAAGAATGAAAACAAAGATCCATTGTAGTGACAACATAATTAGAAAAAAACATAAAACATACAAAGAACAACTGAAGGGATATTTTACGAAATCACTTGTGTATTTTGCATGAAATAAATTGATTTTCCCCACCTAATTTATTATCACTACAGTAACATGTTAATTATCTTTACTGAATATAAAAACTAATAATATTCAGCTAAATAGAAGTTATTACTATACATATTTAAAGTGACTGATTATATTAATTTATTTCTATTTAACGAAAGTAGTTTTATGTTTCATCAATATTCACTGTATATTTAAGCCATATATTATGTCATACACTAATAGAAGTAAAACAATTATCATTATTCACTTGGTATTGCTTTAATTGAGTTTTCTCATTGATGTTTTTAGGACTGAAATCGATCAGTCTCTTATTGGCATATGTGCATACTGTGCGTATGCTTCGATATTGCCTTAATTTACAAGCACTATAAGCAAAGATGGATAGTGGCTAGCAGTGGAATCCAGGACGCGCGTTTCGTCCTGTTTGAGACTCGTCATCTGGTTGTACCTGCATCTCAGAGTTGATGTTCACTCTGGGACTCGAACTCGAACATCAACTCTGAAATGCAGGTACATACAGCTGACGAGTCACAAACTGGACAAAACGCGCGTCCTTGATTCCACTGCTAGCCACTATCCATCTTTGCTTATAATTATCATTATTGTTTAATAAAAATATTAAACAGATTCTATCGATCTTTCATTATCATAACCCTTTTTTATGCAAGAAATATGACAAAAAACAATTGTTATTCCTAAACAGCCACAAAGAAACACAAAAAAACGAACACTTTCTAAGCAAAGCATCTAGTTACTAAGCTCTATTTCATTATGAACATGAAGATTAGTCAACATTCCATAAAACTATCATAAATGTGTAATAGAAACTGATGAAGATTGTTGTTTTTTGAGTAGAAAAAGAAATTGTGTAAACTAGTAACAATTAAAACAAGAAATGAATTGAATATATAAACTAATATCGAATGAAACTATGTGAATAAATCAAATTATTATTGAAGAAAGTATTTGTTTTTAATTGCTAATCTTAAAACAAGCATAAATTATGTAATATGCACATTGATTAACATAATTATCATACATATTCATCACATCCATTTACATAAAAGAAAATAGTTTCTATGAATAATGATTATTAAAATGTATCATTTAAATTATGTCAGCCGAGTAACTAGGAGGAAAAAAATAGTAACTAATGATTACAATTTTCATTTGAGAAAAAAAATACTGAAAACAGAACGAAACAAAACAAAAGTCTTTTAACGATGAAACATTTCGGATGAAAATAAAAATCAATTTGATTTCCTTGGAATATTTTTTCTGAGTTTTATTTTATTGTTTTAGTAATTAATGCACAAAAAAAGCGCAAACAGTTTAAAAAAAGAAATAAAAACATACACACATGCATTTGGGTACTTTGCAAAAATGTTGATTTCATACATTAAAATTTCATGTTCATTTTACTTTGTTCTCCTCCTCATCCTCATCATCATCACCATAACAATTGAAGCGTATTGAAAAAAAATAAAATGACCGAAATCAAATCAAACACTGTGAATGATGAAGTATGTTGTATTGGTTCTAGACGTGTGTGTATGTGTTTTAAAAATTAAATGTTATTTTATTATTCGACTCACATCATCTGCACCATCGTATAGATTACTTAAATTTTGAAGAGATCGATACTTCAGATAGACTTTAGCTTTCTGCTCCGAAAAGAAATATTAGGAAAGATGATAATAATAGATATATTTATCGAAAGGTATATAAAAGGTGCATTTATCGGAGTTCTATGTTGATGTAAAAATAGTATTATAAGAGCCATTTAAATATGTTCTTTTCCAATATGTACAATCAAGGATTGTGTGAATGTTAGAATAGTGAATAGTTCCATTGATTTCCTTTCTTGGTCATCAAATAGATAATCAGTTAATGACTCAACATACCGTACTACTTAGATTTGACATTAAGTATCCTAATAATTTAAAACTGGGTATAACTAATGTATCATCAGAGAATAATGAATTTAAATCTGGTTCGCATAAAAAACACATCCTAATATATTTCGTAGTTGATTTAGATCGACTTATTAAAGTAAATATCTTATTTTACAGATGATTTGCTCTTCTCAATAAATTTTTGGTGGTGAACAAAGCAAATCTTTAGTAATATGGTGTGATAAATCATATTTGCTATGAATATCATCGCATTCTGGTTAATAGCGACAATACATTTTCTCATTAGCTTAGACTGTTGTCTCAACTAATTCAATGGTAATTACTATTTTAATTAGTAGTTAACGTATAAAATTTGATTGCTGATTTACTTGTAAACTAAAATCTGAATAACTGCTTTCATTGTTACCCTCACATCTTTATCAGAGTTTATGAATAAGCGCTATTCATTTTTACCATTAGTTCTGATCTCAATGAACTGAGATTTCATAAGTTTACATTATGAAGTTTGGGATAATTCCTGGGTTTTTTATTATCTTGAATTGAAAACCGAATATCTTCTTTATGATTTGAACTAATAATGGATCATCTTCTCAGTTTTATAATATTAATGTTGATATGTGCCACTATTCAATAAACACAAATTTACCGATTGAAATTTTCAATTCATTCAGATCTTATTCAATCTTTGAACATTCTTATAATGATTATACAAAATATGTCATTCCTTTATTCTTCTATTGAGAATTTTAAATATTTAATTAGAAGAACAAACAATTCTGTCAGTAATGAAGGAGGAATTTAGATATTAACTTATGATATTAAACTTTGAAAATAAAATAAAAATTGTCGAAATACCGGAGATAAAATATGTTGTTTTGGCGGTGAACTAGCATGTAAGTATGATGTTGGCAAAATTTCATTGTTCATAGGCCTGTTGACTTCATAATCACGCCAGATCGTTGGTCTCAAATGAGGTCGATAATAACCGTTTGATTCTGGAGTTTGGTATAAACTACTGCCTGCACTGTTATACACAAAATATGGACGAGAATAGTTGGACATGGATTTACCAACCAAAGTGACTTTATTAGGTTCAGTATAGGCATTTCGCTGAGTGGAAAATGAATAACGACGCCGTGGAACACAAAGTGATCTTCTTCTGGGAAGTTGTGTTGAAGAATAATAAATCATTGGATAACAGCTAGTTCTAAATGGTGTTCCGCTTAAACTTCGACGTCTTGGTACCCAATCCATTGGCGGTGGATAAATGTTATTTGAACTCTATAAAAGGGGTGGGGGTGGGAAATCATTGATCTATTCATTTATTTTTCAAAAGATGATTTTTTGTGACAAGATTAGTTTTAATTGACTGCTTTATTTTTGTAAATTGTTAGTTAGCATGACACTCATAATAAACTCATCTATCAGGCATAACATCAAAAATTGCAATCAAGAGAAAGTCAGTGTTAGTGATAATTTAAAAGAAATCAAAATATTATTAAAGTAATTTCATAACACCAGTTATTTTTATTGTTAGTGATAAGTAAGTAGACTCCACTCTGAGGGATAAACTAAACAGAACGTATAATCTAGGTTAGTATAATTATTACTAGTGTGTGTTATATACGGTAAAAATATATATCAATTATACATGATCTATTAAACTGTACGTTACATGTGAAGTTTTACTTAGCCTTCTTCATATTATTGGGTATCAAGTAACAATGTAATTTGAAATCCTGTCAGTTTTTTTCACAGTGAATAAATAATTTGGAATTGTGTTTAAAGAAAAACAAGGCGAGACTCTAATTTAGGGACGAGCCAATCAGAAGCGTTTGAGCAATTTCAAGGTCACGGAGCCAAGTTCAACACGCGCTGCTAACATACGATCGGTTCACAGCGGATTTTAGAGAGTAGGTGATTAATGAGAGGTTACAACAGATGGGACGGCGAAACTCTATTTTAGGGACGAGCCAATGAGAAGCGTTTGAGCAATTTCAATTATTAGCCAATCAGAAGACAGTATAAAGTAAAAATATATTACAAGAAAGTAATGAATTACAGTGGATATTCTTCTTTTACATGATTTAAAAACTTGTTGAGGTTTGATAAAGACTCAGAAGTTCTGAATTCATAATGCATATTGTATAGAAACTCGTCCATAGGGTTAGGGTTTGGGGTTAAAATTAGGGTTAAGGGTTAGGTTAAGGTTAGGGTTAGATTAGGATTTAGGGTTAGATTAGTTTTTAGGTTAAGGTTAGGGTTTAGGGTTAGGATTAGATTTGGGTTTAGGGCTAAGGTTAGGGTTTAGGGTTAGGGTTAGATTAGGGTTTAGGGTTAGGTTTGGTTAGGGTTAGATTAGGGTTAAGGTTAGGGTTAGATTAGGATTTAGGGTTAGGTTAAGGTTAGGGTTAGATTAGGGTTTAGGGTTAGGTTAAGGTTAGGGTTAGGGTTAGATTAGGGTTTAGGGCTAAGGTTAGGGTTAGATTAGGGTTTAGGGTTAGGTTTGGTTAGGGTTAGGGTTAGATAAGGGTTAAGGTTAGGGTTAGATTAGGGTTTAGGGTTAGGATTAGGGTGCTAACATGCGATCGGTTCACATCGAATTTTAGAGAAGATTTGTCCACTTACAGGCTACAACCCTAACCACTAACCCTATGGACGAGTTTTTATACAATGTGCATTATGAATTCAGAGCCTCTGAACCTTTATCAAACCTTAACAAGTTTTTAAATCATGTAAAAAAAGAATATCCACTGTAATTCATTACTTACTTACAATATATTCTCAGTTTATACTAACTGTCTTCTGATTGGCTAATAATTGTCAAGGTCACTTAAGATTCGTTCAAAGGTCGTCCTTAAATTAGAGTCTCGCCAAAAACAACAACACTTTACCTTTAACAAGAAAATTACAGCATCACCCTAATAGCAGTTGACTTATATAACATAAACTACATATTAATAAGGATTAGAGTTTATGGGAAAGAAAATCAGATTGATAAATTCAGTAGAATTTCTTAGTTCTAGACTATTGATTATCTTTCCCAATAAGTAGTTGTTATATACGGAATTATTATTTAAAGAATGTATTGTTTTAAAGTTTCGACAAGATTGCATACTCTTCTGTTTTTTCTAATCATTACCATGTTGTGTGCAATTTCAGTTGTTATCATGTTATGAAAGTTTGTTTATCTGATACTAAAAATCTCTTTTTTTAACTTATTCATTATTTATTGGATAGTTTTTTTTAAATGAATTGTTGCTGTTCAAACAGCCGATTACAAAAGCGTATTGTCTTATTTAGTTTATTAAGTTATGAAAACTATTTTGATGTAAAATCTTGGGAACTAATAGAAATCAGGAGACATTGAACAATTATTGCAATTCATTACTGAATTTCTATTGAGAAATCTTGAATGAAAGACTTTCATCATATTTGAACTGATTCAACGATTACTAACGAGGATAAATTGATTGATATAAGAAATCTTAACCACTATATTGCAACTTAGTTATCTGAAAGCAACGCACTGGCTGCGATGACTTTTAAGTTTATAGGTTTCCATTGTTATGAACTCCTAAACTAGTATAAAAATATCTAACAGTGTTTTTAGATTTCATTTTAATAAACACTCAAAACTGTTTGTGTGAATAACCTGGTCTATCGGTGAACCTGATCAAAATCTCTTTTAAGCGGTTACCAATGACTTTTTATAAGAGAGATATTTGGGACCACGAATAATATGGATTGTCACATGGTAATAACATACTTTACATAGGTATTAATTGAAAGTACATAACGGTAAAATTTTGTTGAACTGGAGAGAGTTTTATATATTTCATTGAAGTACTCGATAATTACTGAGTTTGTAAATCTTATGGTTTATTCTTTTAAACCATACCTGAGTGAAAGATTATTAGCTGGTCCTAACATCCTTTGACTGGTAAACTACTAAAATCCATGGCGTTTCTTTACTTTAACATTAATTTTAACATTAATCTATGACAAACATTCATTATACTATACCAATTTTAAGAATTTTTATCATCAAGCCACATCTATTATATATCATAACTCCTGTCAAAAAGAAGCTCATACAATATGTTAATAAAATGTGATAAAAGTTTACTTTATGTAAGATTTAAAATATGAATGCGCCGCAATACATGTCGTGTTTGTATTTTGGTTCCTTAAGAATTTTACCTCTGATTCTTTCTTCTCTTTTATAAATAAACTATTTGTCTATTGGTTGTTAATCTTGAAAATTTTGTAATTCATTTGTATTTTGTATGTAAATGGAATCTAACAACAGTATAGTACTGAAGATTAATGTAGTAATCATAGTGTTAATTTTAGATACAAATAGCAATAAAATCTGGATAACTTTCTAATCTACCCCACAACTTTTATATTATGGAGTTAATAAAAAAATAAAGAAGAAAACAATATTATAAACAAATCTCATTATTCACAATGATGTTGGTCGATAAACAAAGAAGGTACTATATATGCAATGGATTACATTATTTTTTTTTGGCTTGAATTCTAGACAACTGCAAAAAAATGTACAAAAAATTGCTGATACATGTTTTATGAGAATAACTGAATGGGAAAAAAGGTCCAGTTCACATATTTTATTTTTGAATATTTTTAAAGTTATTCGTTTATGAAAATCCAATTTATTCTCTTTCTTATCTGTTTAATGCTTTATTAACACTGAATTTGCTTGAAATTTATAACATCAACTATCAGTTTACTATCAGTTCCTGGTGAGACTATATTTCATGGATGATATTTGAGCGACTCTGAAGTGATCTTGAGAGTGGATACCTACTGATTAGGACTTAATGGGGGGGGGGTTATAAAGCAGTTAGAATTCTCATTTACAGTTGATCGTTAAGGTCAAAAATTAGATTTAGGGTTTTCATCAAAAACTGACTTCAGCTATAATGCCATAATTTTATTTCACCAAATGTATGGATGAATTTCGCGCCGAAATTCGTGACTCGTTATCCTATACCTGATTGGTTCGTCTATAAATTATAGTCTCGCCATTTTCCTTTATCATTTTTTGATGACATAGTAACATATACTGCTAATAGACTTCCGATGATATCAGTCTATGATATAAATTGTCTTCAGCTAACAATAATATTATGATGATATTTTCTTGTTAAAAGCTTGAACAATTAGACATGACTAAAACATCATAATCATTGTAACTTTGTTCACCCTCCCTAAAGCTGCTTCTTTTAGTAAATTTTTGAGTAAAATCACTGAAATAAACTTTGTATAATAAAAATATATACAGACAAATAAGTATCATCAATGTTTGTACTCTGCCTATGTTTATTTAGACAATATTCACCGTTTTCATGGTGATTTTAGAATTTCCTTATACATCTTAGTTATGTCACTATATCAGGTAAGTTTTCAGTATAAAACGTTACCGCAAACAATAATAGTTTAAAAATTTGAACCAGATAATCTCTAAATCTAACCTAATCTGATTAGAAAATAAAAAATAATGATTAAAAGGATAAAGAACAATCCATTCTACCCTGAAGCGAATTTTGGATACTACAGGTAGCAATGTAAAGATTCCGATGAATCTCAATCATCATAAAGATATACTTTAAAAGTTTACATCCTCTAACCCAAGAATTAGCTTTTAGTTAATGTTTTGCGGTCATTCATAAATAGATATCAAATTTAATGAATTGTATTTGCCTGATAAGAGCTTTAAATATGTGATCATTTTTCCCTATTCCTAAACACCTAATGTATACGGAACATAGAGTTGATATCACATACGCTTTGTGATGTTGAATCTAAGTGTTCAGAGGCGAATATTGAGATGTACTGAAGCTGTAGTCATAAAAATACTGAAAGCACTTTCATATGCACTGTTAAATTGTTAGCCAGAGAAATGTGTTACGTATCATCTTTTCCCTAATCTCTTTGTTTTTTCTGATTTTAGAATTTGTGAAGTTTGATCTTCTATTTTTCATATAGAAATATCTTCATATGTAAATACATGATCATTTTAGATATCCTAATCAACCTGAAATTTAATGATTTAGAAAAAAATTTGGGCATTGGGCCAAGTCAATAGAAATGATCTTATTTGCTTTTTTTATTCAGTGGAAAAAATGAATATTTAATGACAGTGTGACCAGTTTGTTTTATAAGTACTGAGTTAATTCAACAAATAGTTCTCGTAAACTTTGTTTTCTCATTGCATTATTTAAATGTAACAAGCTTAGTCAATTCACAAATTA